TTAAGCAAGCACATTACAAATATCTGTATAATAAAAAAAAAAATTAACAAAGAAACAAAAAAGCAAATATGCCCAAATTCCATTGTAACTAAGGAAGATGATAGATTGGGGGAGCCTAGTGAATGAACGGGCAAACATAATATCTTGTGCATGACATCAATATATCTGACACTACTTAGTCATGGTTGCAGCATGACAGTGATTTTAAGATCTCTCCATTGTTTGCATGAAAATCATGTTATTGCTATAGCTAGTCAGTTATTTTTCTTTTGGCCATAGCATTTGTCAGATGATGTGCACAATGTGCAGATGATGTAAATGCATCAGAACTTGCCAGATGGAGTATCCTTGTATGGAAACAGCAGAAAATGTTACAAGCAGTGGACACTGGAAAGAGAGTTTATGATAGTTCTGTAGCTAGTTTTTTTTTTTCTGTCTGGTCTATATTAAGCTTGTTGTCATTAATATATACCATCCTGCTTTACAGAAGAGGTTATGATCAGTCAAATTTATGAGTATATGCAACTGCCATGTGTTTTTATCAACTCAAGATTACTCTAGTATAGTTCAACTCTATCTTCAAACATTTCAGAGCCAAGACCTGATGAAAAATACAGTGAGTAACTTGTGGTACAGGGCTCCTCACTAAGATGGTACTGCTGATTTTTTAGAGCCAACACATCTGTCAGATTTTTCATAAATCATTGATTGTAACCAGTAAACCCCTAACAGTCTTTGTGCATTTTCTCTATGCAATCATTTTCTCCTAGCCATAATTCCAACCTGGCGATCAGGTAAAGGAGGCAGTTTTCTGGTACAGTGTTTTCTAGTAAAAGCAAAGGTCTTTCACACTCATTATTGCAGTGTAACCAAACAGTTCACATCTATTGACTTTCAGGACTGGCTTCAAAAGACTAACAATAACTTCCCCCAGTGGTAATAGGATGAGAAGGAAGAGTTTGGATTCTTGTACAGTGAATATTTCATTGAAGTTGATGTTAATTGTACTGCGTGCTAGGTTAACTTGATTAGACACTCCTTTTGTTACTGAGATGTAAATAGTTAAACTACTATATTACGTTAGCTTAGAAGTTGTGGGAGAAAATAATTTATTTTGACCTCCCTTAGTTCTCAGATGAGCTCACTATGGGTTAATCCTGCAGCATTATTAGAGTAGTTTGAATGATGCTCTAAGGTCAATAAATTGCCAGTAGCCTACTGGGATTTATATTCCCTTGCTCACAACATCTGGCACTAATACCTGCTGCAGTTTTCATGTGTGTCATAAGCAGAAAGACTTGTACAGGCGGTATGGCTTGACAGTGCATCCAAAATATAACCGTCATCATGCAATAACAGAAAATATTTTCTAGCAAAAGCTCTTAGTTTACTTCACACTGATTTTGTCATGTGTTTCTGCTGGTTTTGATGGTAGAATTCATAAAACACATGATGAAGCTCAGACCTTTCTTCAGGTACACCAGTATCTCACTGCTAAATTCCCTCTTCTGACAAAATTATGCAGATTGGGGTCCTGTTACATTTCTTGTCAATAAATGTGAAATGAGAATTTGCATCTAAGTGTACTTCTTTAACATAACAATATCTGTATTTAATATGAAATAATATTTGTAACAAATATTTCTTACAATGGGTATGAAATATATGTAAAAACATTATGCATATTATTTAGTCCTATGATATGTTTTACAGTGTATGTATAGTATGCCATACAGTGAAAGTTCCATTTGTAAATAAGCATCATCTGTTCTAGGTGATCTAAAGTATGGCTCAGTATACACAGTGCAGGTGTCATACACAACTTTACCTACATTGGACTGTTTGACTTGCTGAGGAAGACAGTTTGACTTGCTGAGGAACTTTTGGATGTGATGCTGGTGTCATCCCTGGTCTAAAAACACACCTATTTTCTAGACAGAATATGGAGAGGGAAACAAAGAGCTTCCGTTTTACCTTATCTTGATGTAAGCTTACCTTCACAAATTTTTCTGAACTTGGTGATGCCCTTCTACATACAAGATTTAACTTTCCTAATACAGTCCAGAGCACATGTGTGATTTCTGATGCCATAATGAACAGAATAATTCTGTTTCAAAGCAGGGTTAAAATAGCTTGAGGTAAAGAAACTACAGGGTTAGAAAATGAGTAGGAGGTTTAAAACAAGTTTGATACTAGGCCCTCATTTCAGGCTTCAGCACAGTCCAGGGTACTTTTCCTCCATGGAATAAAATAGGCCGTGAACAGCTACCTACTTAGATATCTATGCTGCCAAGTGCCTCTACTACCATTTAAGGCTAAAGTGCAATATAGTGTTTCCATCTTTCAAAAACGGCATTATTTTAGAAAGATGGGAAGAATTCATGCTATGAGAAAGCAGTATAATGTAGTATCTGTAAGAGCAAAAGCCATGATTCAGCAGGCAGTTATATTGGAGAGGTTAGCTCTACAAGCTGATTTATGTTTATGCAAACAATGCTTATTATGTGTAACATTCATCTTAACTGAGGGTCACATTCAGTGTTCTTAAACATCAGATGCCTGTGTAGGTCGTGAGGACTTTGCATAATCTAGAATATTGGCATGTTTCCTTCGAGTGATTTGGCATAAGAATGTAGTGATCTGAACAGTCGGAAGAAGCCAGGGGTGGGAGGAAGGAAGCTCATTATATGGTTATAATTGCTGTGTGTTTAAATGATTGCTGGATTTGACCGTGAAACAGTAATTATGTTCTGCTGTATAGACAGGAGTGTATCTGTCACATTGAATAAGCTTCTCCTGTAAAAAACCTGCAGGCTGTTTTCATAGGCTTTGGATATGCTTTCAGTATTTGCTGTCTGGAGGAAAAGCTGTCTGAATGACTCGTCTTTCTCTTTCTTATGAAAAGGATTAAAACTGAAAAAAGCCCCAAACTATGTATTTTAACCTTTAGAGTGTTTAAAATCAAGCAATAGAGACTCATTTAATGCTGAACTCAGTTGATGCACTTTAAAATGTGTTCTTCCTAGATAAAAGCTTTGTAAAATGACAGCTAAAAATATTGATTACTAAACTGACCATTCTGAACAATTTAAGGAGTAGTTTAAATTACTTTAGGCTGTTACTGAAGTCCAAAACCTAATTCTAAATTAAGAACACGTGTCTTAAGTATACCCCGCAGTAAAAAATCAAACAGTATACATTCTGTACTTAACATTTAACAACTAATTTTCCTGAAGTACCTGCCCTCCAAAAATTATTTTAGAAAAAATTTAAATCTTAATTGAACACTTCATTTGCTCACAGTACTTAAATTTCTGGGACTTCGGTTCCAGTTCAGTCAACATACTAATTGGCACTTTCATTGATAGCTGTATGTGTTACAGACTGCAAGTGAGGATTTGAAGGAATAAGAGGTCAGGAAGGGTCTCACCTTCAAATAGTAGCTCCTCTCCAGTATTTTACATGCTTCCATGTTCAGCTGATGTGACAGTGAAATCATAACATGTGAAGCTGAAAGTGGTGTGGATATTCAGACACACTAACTCTTATTGCTTATTTCTAGCTTGATAGCTTAGCTGTAATGAGCCAATTCACTAGCTCCTTTTCTTTTCTTTTCTTTTCTTTTCTTTTCTTTTCTTTTCTTTTCTTTTCTTTTCTTTTCTTTTCCTCTCTTCTCTTCTCTTCTCTTCTCTTCTCTTCTCTTCTCTTCTCTTTTCTTTTTCTTTTTCTTTTTCTTTTTCTTTTTCTTTTTCTTTTTCTTTTTCTTTTTCTTTTTCTTTTTCTTTTTCTTTTTCTTTTTCTTTTTCTTTTTCTTTTTCTTTTTCTTTTTCTTTTTCTTTTTCTTTTTCTTTTTCTTTTTCTTTTTCTTTTTCTTTTTCTTTATTGAATGGTCAGAGATTAGCATTTATTAAAATTGTGCTAGTACAGAGGAGAGACAATGCAAAGATTCATGTATAGGAGGGTAAATAATGAATGCAATGAAACTTACCTCTGCTTCAAAAACTTATGAAAAGAGAAGCTACATACCTAAAGATGTTGATTTCTACATACTTCTGCAGTTGCAACATCTGTGGCTTATAGCTATAGTAACTGTAGTGTCCATATATCCAGAAACTTTTCTTGTCAACATATTTCAGAGAGATATTTCTATTTAGTTTATCAGATATTTAGATCCAAAATGTTTGAACAAATTCTTTCTGCTTCATCTATCATGAACAGGCAATAAGGACACCTGAACATGTAACCAACAAAATCAGAAGATATTTTCCAGTCTTTAGGATGCTAAAGTTCATTATTACAGCTCTTTAGTTTTCTTACATTCTTCTTTACATTTCTTTATGTTTCTTTAAATTTTCTTTCTGTAGCAAAAGGGGGAAGTAATCTTATCAGTTAAATACTGCCACCAGTACCTCTCACCTAGGAAAAAAATTCAAAATTTAGATTTCTCTTTTTCAATAGAACACTTCATTAAAATCCTTTTATAATACTCTGGATTCTTTAACTGGAAACCAGAATCTTTGAATATCATGATCTATCAGTATAAAATCTTTTTACATTCAGCATACTTCACATCTAAAACACAGGTTTGCTATGAAATTTACCTGTAAGAGGAAACCATAGAGCTCTGTAGGTTATGAACTCTGTTGTCTTAGAAGAAATTAACAGATGGTACAATACACTGAAATGCCAGAATGTTCTACACATTTTGTGAAAGGAATGTTTGGTTTTGAACTTTTTCATTCACTTGAATTTTAGAAGGTGTGAGATTTTTCAATGAGCATGGTGTTAGTACTAAATGCACAGATGACTTAACACTTGATCCGGAAGAATAATCAAGATTGATTCAGTAGTTGTTCCTATGGAATTCAGTAATAATTGCATTTTATTCCTATGCTTGACTGTTTGCCAGATGAGGGTATAAAATGAAAAGATCAGCAATACTTCCATACATTTCTGTATTCAATATGGATGTGGCTGATCTCTTTTTCATTTTCTTCTAGGCCTTTTCTGGAAACACAAATGCAGACAGTGTCATATACTATAAGCTTCAGCATTCTATTAAAGCAAGATTTCTCCGTTTTGTGCCTTTGGACTGGAATCCGAATGGCAGAATTGGAATGCGCATTGAAGTTTATGGATGCACTTACAGTAAGTGTTTTGCTGAATCAGCTAAATAAAACAACAATTCATCATTGTTTTTTTGCTACCTGAATTATACTTTAAAATAGATTTCTAAGCTTAACTTCAGTCTTGGATAAAGCCAAATCAGTAAGTTTATATCCAGACTTCACTATTTCTGCATCATCTAACAATATGTGATGCTTATTTTCCAGTTCTTTCAGTGTTGGAATGAATGATGTGAACGTAATTCAGTAACTGATTTGCTGCAAAATATTTTTTTGATTATCTCAAAAACTATGTCTTAACATGGTATACTTTCTACCTGAAGGACAAAATGTGGAAAATGTTCATAATTTTAAATATATATGGGTCTTGATCCCGCACCAATAACAGTACAAGTAGATAGACCCACAAATACACAATTGAAGGATACTTCAAAGTTGTTATATATTTATGGAGTACTTTTAGAATATTTCTTGTCATTAATGAAACATTAATAACTGGTATACGTATCTGGAACACAAATACACAGGTACTATTATTGTATTGATCTGCTGGACAAGATAAATCTTCCTGTTGTCTTCCTGTTAAAGTTCTTCATCCCTGGACTTTTAAAATATATTCCTTTTAGTAAGTTGTGTACTACTTTTTATTCTCCACATCTTTTCTTCATGAGAGAAACAAAGTTTTTTTTTAAGCAAGCTCCTTAACTGCTTTTTTTAAGTACTTTGATCTGGTTTCATTTGTAGGATTTTTCTTTCAGCTTCTGTGCTTAAGTCGCACTTTACACAGCTGACCTCTTCTGAATGGTGTCCGTTTATCTCTCTTCTGTGTCCATTCATTAGTATCTGACTTTAAACTGAACATCAGTAAAACACATATCTGGGCTTTCTGCCTTAAATTTCATTTTGTAAGATGAGTAAAAGACCACAAACTGAGGATATCGAAAATTTGAACCTGGATGTAGGAGATTAGGTCACCTCAGAAACTTGGTAAACTGTCCCATCCCAGAGAACACACAGCTCGTGCCAGGAGAAGGATGTGAGAAGTTAAGAACACACAGAATTCCTCAATGACATCTGCCTGGAGACTGGGAACATGACTTATGATTCCCAGAACAATGTAATGATACTGTTGTAACTGACAAATGTGGCCAAAATTCAACTTATCCTTCACTATTTTAAGTACCAGAACTACTGAAAGTTAAAAATGGAGGCTGAACAGATGGCTTTATCATTCCCAGCTAAAAGCTCATCTGAGTGTCCCATTTTAAATCTCATCTCTGTGGTACTGGATGAGAGTACATTCTTTCATGTCTCTAAGCTTCACTGAAAGTCAATCAGCTTTTCTTCTTCCCAGTCCTTTACGTTGTGCATTTGACAACATTTAAATCCTTGCTCGAAGTCTTGTTGTCAAACATTTCCAAACTGAAAAGCTCTCTTTTGCACGTGGCTAAAATACACGTTTTATTTATCTATATTGACTACTGTAATTTTCTCTCTCACACCTTTCAAGGTATCTTATGGCTTGCTTCTATGATATCCCTATTGCCAAAGGAAAATCTACGAGTCTAAGCGACAAAAAAAGGGCAGTGCCCATGTTACTAAAAAAAATAAAACATACAGAATAAGCAGTTACACAGTTAAAATATATTGTGTGTGGTCAGTAACTACTTTTGAGGAAGATTAAGATTTTTTCTGTATTTTACTTATTTGGTACCGGATTGAACCTATGGATAGCTTATGGAAACAAGTCATTCAAGTAAATGATAACTATCTTCTAAGATGAGACTGAATTTAAAAAGGATATTTATTTCGTCCATTATCCACTGTAATGCAGTACATAAAGAACCTGATACTGTTAAAAATCTGGAAACTTTTTTCAAACTGGTTAAGATTTTTTTCTATATTAATGATGTTGTATGTTCTTGAAATACTTTTTTTTTCTATGTATAAATGCTTTCATTCCAAATGAATTGCAGACTGTTTACCATCTCTTCATTTATTTTGAACATCTAGAATTCCCATGTGATTTTAATATTTCAATTCAATGCTTTCTATTGAAGACAAACCAGGTGATTATAGTCTTATAGTTCTAAAATATATTTAATAATTTGAAACATTAATTCTTTGTCTCAAGTCTTTTCCTTCATTTATCAGACACATGCAGGACATGTAGTTATTGTTACAATAATTATGCCTGGCTGTTTCTGAATTGCTATATACTTTTCCAGGGAAGACCAGAAAATGAAGAAAAGCATAAATGCCAGTGATAGCTACTTTAACTTTGATTCACACTTCCCAGATTTCCCATTTCTCATTCTTCCCTTCAGAGACATCTCACGCTTTCTTGTATTGTAAGAGTAAACAACTCTCTTTCCATTTACTACCAAAAATGTGGAGGGTGTTCTGTATTCAAGTGCAAATGATACTGAAAAATGCATGTATGTTACATCCAAAAGAAATCATTACTATCTTAGTGAAGTAATACTTACAGGACAACTGTTGACACTACGTTCAAGTTGCTGCTCTGTTGTCTTGAGCCAAACACCTGCTCTGAATAACTTAGCCTAGTATCCTCAGAACTAATGTTTCCCCTTTAGCTGCAGTCTTGGTGAGGTTTGGTAATGTCCATGACACATGCCCATAGGGTAAACCAGGTTATCATGGGTTTTATTTCATTTTTTTCACACGGAACTGCTTTTTTACCATGAATCTTCTAGGCCAAAGACTGACACATTTTATATATTTGCAAAGGATGCATCCAGAACACATCCTTCCATTTTTGCTTCTTAGCACTTAGGGAGTAGAAAGGATAGGTAGTCTGTTATGGAGTTACATGAAACATTAAGAGAGTTCTTGTGTATTCTTTGTGTTTAGTTCTACTTCCTCAGTCTGCTACCTCTGCCATGCGCTTCAGTTTTCTTACTCTTGTTCTACAGTCTTTTTCATGTAAGAAAGAAAGAAAAATGTTTTCTACCTCCAGGTGAACGACCTGGCTTCATGTGGACAGATGAAATCTGATTGTGCCATGACTACACAACAAATATTCTGTGCTGCCAAAAACACCCCACCTCAAAATCTCTCTCGGCGTCTGCCTGATAATTCTTCCTATTTAGTGTGTGCAAAAGAGACTGGTGAATCTCTACAGACATTTCCCGTGTGTTGTTGCTGAAATGTCAGATTGTGATAAGCAAGCCATACAAAATAAAGTTCAGGTTAAGCTATGCCCTGGCACTAAAAAAGGGTGATTAGAAGTCTCTTTGGCTTACTCTTTTCTCCCTTCATTACAAGGCTGTCTTTCTCATTCCATCCTCTAAAAACCAGCAGGCTAAATACACAAGGAAAAAAGAAAAGGCTTTTTCATGTGACAGATGGAAAGATGGGTTTAAATGTGAAAAGGAAAATTCCTCAGTAATACTCTTTTCTTCACCTGTAAAACTTAGGACTTTAATATTTTGTCTATTATAGTACAGAATCAATCAGGTCAAGGGAGGTGATTCTCCCCCTCTACAGCATTCTCATGAGACACCACCTGGAGTACTACATCCAGCTGTGGGATCCCCAGGACAAGGAAGATGTGGACCTGCCAGAGCAAGTCTACAGGAGAGCCACAAAAGTGACCAGTGTGCTAGAACATCTGTCCTATGAAGATAGGCTGAGAAAGTTGGAGTTGTTCAGCATAGAGCAGACAAGGTTCTGGGGACACCTTATTGTGGCCTTTCAATACTTTAAGGGTGTTTATAATAAAGATGGAGAGAGAGTTTTGTTCAGGGCCTGTAGAAAGAGAACAGTAATGTTTTTAATTGGAAAGAGGGTAGATTTAGGCTGGACAAAAGGAAGATTATTGTTTATTTTTTAATAATGAGGGTGGTAAGACACTGGAGCAGGTAGCCCTGAGAAGCTGTGAGTACCTCCTCACTGGAAGTGTTCAGGTCAAGTTGTATGGGGCTTTGAGCAACCTGATCTATTGTCAGGACATTGAAACTAGATGATCTTTAAAAACTTGCTGCCAATGCCAGCTGTTGTGTGATTCTATGCTACAAAGATGTCCCTTGAGGAGTGTCTGCAGTTGTCCCCATAATTTGTGTTGGAAGCTCTGCTATCTGCCTTTCTGACCTACTTTCCAAGGAGGTTTGCTGCTTGCTAGGGACTTGAATACAGGATACTGTGGAGACACTGTTGAGGCTTGTACAGTCTTCAGACTATCCCCGTCTGTTTCTCTTCCATGTGGGCACCAACAGCACTGTCAGGGAGACCTGGAGTGCATCAAACATGACTACAAGGCTCTAGGGGCAAGTGGCAAGGGGCAGGGGCATGGGGTCTCAAGCTGTGTTTTCCTTCTTGCTGCTGAGAAGAGAGAAGTGCTTGAGGATTACTGGGTGAATCCTTTGGATCAATAACTAGCTGCACAGCTGATGTCAACAGCAATTATTCAGATTAAAAAGCCTTAGGAGACTCTTTGATCAGCAGTTGCTAAGAAGAGACACAATCCATCTGACTACATATGGCAAAAGCATCCTTTGGGGAACAAGGCAAATAGCAGGATCACAGTCCTGGCCTTCAGCAGACCAGGCCTTCTGCATGCTCAGGGAACTCATTGGAAGAGTGACGCGAAAGATGGCACTGAAGACGAGAGGGATTCAGGATAGCTGGTTGTTTTGGTTTAGCCTGGATAAACGCCAGGTGCCCACCAAAACTGCTCTATCACTCCACCTCCTCAGCTGCACAGGGAAGAGGAAATATGATGAAAGGCTCGAGGGTCGAGATAAGGACAGGGAGAGATCACTCACCAATTACTGTCATGGACAAAACAGACTGAACTCGGGGAGAAAAGGGAGTTTAATTCGTCAAAAATCAAATCAGAGTAGGATAGTGAGAAAATAAATCCAGATGTTCAAACACCTTCCCCCCACCCCTCCCTTCTTCCCGGGCTCAACTTCATTCCCGTTTCTCTACCTTCTCCCCCCCGAGCAGCACAGGGGGACAAGGAATGGGGGTTACGGTCAGTTCATCACATGTTGTCTCTGCCGCTCCTTGTCCCTCAGTTGGAGGACTCCTCACACTCTTCCCCTGCTTCAGTGTGAAGGTCCCTCCAGGAGACAGTTCTCCACAAACTTCTCCAACGTGAGTCCTTCCCATGGGCTGCAGCTCTTCACAAACTGCCCCAGTGTGGGTCCCTCCCATGGGGTGCAACTCTTCACAACAGGCTGCAGCATGGGTCCCTTTCACGGGGTGCAGTCCTTCAGGAACAGGCTACTTCAGTATGGGTGCCCCACGGAGTCACAAGCCCTGCCAATAAATCTGCTCCATTGTGGGCTTCTCTCTCCATGGGTCCACAGGTCCTGGCAGGAACCTGCTCCAGCGTGGCCTCCCCATGGGGTCACAGATTACCTCAGGCATCTACCGGCTCCTGTGTGGGATCCCTTCCACGGGCTGTAGGTGGATATCTGCTCCATGGACTGCAGGGGGACAGCCTGCCTCACCATGGTCTTCATCACGAGCTGCAGGGAAAACTCTGCTCCAGAGTCTCAAGCACCGCCTCCCCCTCCTTCTTCACTGACCTTGGTGTCTGCAGAGTTATTTCTTTCACATCGTCTCACTCCTCCCTCTTCATTGCCATCTCACCCAGAGTTTTTTTCATCCCTTTCTTAAATATGTTTCACAGAGGCACTACCACTGTCGCTGATTGGCTTGGTTAGAGCCAGCAGACACTGGCTTTATCAAACATACAGGAAGCTTCTCACAGCTTCTCACAGAAGGCACCCATATAGCCCCCCTGCTACAGAAACCTTGCCACGTGAACCCATAACACTGGTTGATTTTCAAGGATCATTTCCTCCAAGCTCAGGAAAGGTCTGTCCCTAGAAGAAGGAAATCAAGCAAAAGTGCATGGATGAGCAAGGAGCTCCCAACTGAGCTCAGGAATAAAAAGGAACTGTGCAAAAGGAGGACTATCAAAAGTACTGGCTCACTACTGAGTGGGGCAGAGGACCTGAGGGTAAAAGACATGGATAAGGCCAAAGTACTCAGTGCCCTCTTCACCTTGGTCTTTGCTAGTTAAGACTTGCATTCAGGAATCTCAGGTCTCTGAGGCCCAGAGGAGAGGCTAGGATAAGCGAGACCCTCAGTAGAGGAAGGTCAGGCTATGTAACTAAAAGAAAGGCATAGACCTACAGTAGCAAATCCAGCAAAAGGCCACAAGTATGATTAAGGGACTGGAGCATCTGCTGTGTGAGTAGAGGGTGAGATAGCTGGGACTGGACTGTAGAAGGCTCAGAAGGAATCCCACCATGTGTATTAATACCTAATAGGAGCATGTAAAGAAGGCACAGCCAGGATCTTTTCAGTGGTGTTCAGTGACAAGACAGTGGCCATGAACTGAATTACATTTTTTTAGAGTGAGGATGGTTGAACACTGGTATGGGTTGCCCAGGGAGATGTAGTCTCTATCTCTGGCAATATTCGAAACCTGGCCCTAAGAAACCTGCTGGATCTGACCCTACTTTGAGTAGGGAAGTTGCACAGGATGATTTCCCGAGATGCATGGCAGCTTCATCCATTCTGTGATTCTGTGATGCCCATACTGGAAAAATGATGATACAAAGTCCTGTATTCCAGTACTAAAACTGTAATTCAGCTTAATTAAAGTAGTAATTTGTTTATAATGGCAGAAAAAAAATTATTAACAGAACCTGGCCCTACTCACAGTTGAACAGTTTTCAGTTTTGAATATTTTTGTTTCTTTCCTAGAATAGTGTGGCATGATATTATTTTGAACTACTGTACACATATCTAGATTGATTTTCATAGTGTCTTAAATCTACTGTCTGCATGAAGGCCCTGAAAATCAGTTAAATGTAATGGACATGATTTTCCTCTTCTTCTTTTTGTTGATTGGAATTTATAGCAGATAAATTAACAGAGATTTTCACTCTAAGAATACAGTAAGAACAGAAATGGTTGAAGGACTTCTTGACTCCAGGGGAAGGAAGACCTTTCAGCATGTGAGATTAGTACTACATTGGAATAGAAGCCAGGTCTTTTCTGCTCAGTTTGCTTTACTATCTAGTGATAGCATCATCATTGAAACAGGACAGTCTTAACATCTGGTGGAGAACAGGAGTAACAGAAATCAGCTACACTTTACTGGGCACAGGTGAATCTAGGGACGTTGGCGGTGTGAGTTCATACCATATTGGAGTAACATGCAACTGTCTCTTTTAGACATAGCATTATACATTCTCTTTCATTTCTTTACTTCTAGGGTCTGAGGTAGTTGGATTTGATGGGAAAAGTTGCCTGATTTACGCATTTAATCAAAAACTCATGAGTGCACTGAAAGATGTGATTTCTCTGAAGTTTAAGACAGTGCAAAGTGATGGAGTGCTCCTCCACAGAGAAGGACAAAATGGAGACCACATCACCATGGAACTAATTAAAGGGAAGCTGTCTCTACTCATTAATTTAGGTAACAGCTACAGTGTCATAAAGTGTAATATAGTTACTAGGTATTATTTGACTAAAACTTCTTTTAATTTGTTAAGTGGATTTTAATATATAGAGTATAATAAACTAGCAGTATATATTTGAATAATTATATTTTTATATGGAATTAATAGTTTTTATTTTTCTTCTTTTAAGGTGATACTAAAACTCATCCTTCTAATGCCCAAATTAATATTACACTGGGCAGCCTTTTGGATGATCAGCATTGGCATTCTGTTCTCATTGAGCGCTTTAACAGTCAAGTAAACTTTACGGTGGACAAACACACTCATCATTTTCATGCAAAAGGAGAATTCAATCATTTGGACCTTGATTATGAGGTGTGAAAATTACCTTTCCTTTATTACATTTATTAACTTGGTTATGTAAATGCAGTGAAACAAACAAAGGAGACAGAACTTAGATAAGTTTGTAGTGCTTAAGACTTTAGGGATTTTCTGTCTCCTAAAGAAATGAATCGAATAAAAAGAGATGTTCTTAGATTACTAATGCTCCACTAGACTTTGAACTCAAAATTTTCAGAAGACCATCTTTTTCATCTCAAATTCATTATTTTAATATCTTTGTTTTAGTAGTGCAACAGATGTGGTAAACAGTATGTAAACATACGGAATGAGCCCCTACTCAAATCTATTATTTTATGGCTTTTTAAAAATTGTAATAAATGAGCATAAAACCATTTTAGAAATGTTTAGATTAAGACTTAAATTCCTGTTAAATCTGGCAAATGTAGTGTGAAAAAATCTTGCTTACACAGATGGCAGATTCATGAAAAGGAGTAGACGTAATTTGCTGTGACGCTTTCCCACCTATGGTTAAAAATACCACTATTTCACAGTTGTAATGTGATGACTGGCTGCTTTATGTTTGCCCCTGTCCTGTTTGTTAGATGAGACAATGAGTGATAGAGCAGAGTGTCTGGAATCCGCAGGTCTAAATTACTTTACTCTACTCATTCAAGTTTTTTAGCAGTTTAGAGTAAGATTTCATGCTGTTCTGTGTCTGCATTAACCCATTTCAAAAACATTATTCACAAGACTAAAGTCATGATTCTGCTTAAAATTTGTGAATCTAAGCCAGAAAGTCAAGGCCTGGAAGATCATACCAACTGAAAAAAATAAAAAGAGGAAAAAATAGGGAACAACAAATGTTATTTTAATCTGATTCATAAAGAGATATATTTTACTAAATTAACAAGTATTGCAAATTAACGTTTCCTCTTTTCCACATACAGTAGTTTGAAGAATATGTTACCAACACAAGGTAGAAAGGAAAGCAAAAACTGGAAAAAAACCTAAAAGCTTTGAAAGTATGAACCACTGTATTTAGAATTGCATTTCTGACTATAAAAATTTCTCAATTTTATTACTTAATGAAACATGATATATTTAATTTTGGCATTTTTAATAAAAGGATTTTAAATATTAAGTGAAATTTCAAAATTAAAAGGTAAATAATTTGAAGTGACCTTTGCTACAATGTCAACCAGAATAGCTTTACAATGGGTGAGTTCAAAAGTTCACTTAAACTGGCATTCTGTTTTCGATGGGGCCCAAGTGTGGAAACGTAGACCAGAGTATAACTCAGGTCACCCTCGTGGCAATACTTTTCTAAAACAATCTCCTGCTTTCCAACAGTTTCTGCCTCAGGGACTTACTAAGACAGAGTGATATTCTTGAACTTGATGGATTTTTATTTTTATTAAATCTTCCAATCTCTTTCTGAACCCAAGTAAACCTAAAGCATCAAATCAAGGAACTGCACAGCCTAAGCATTTTGAGAGTATATACTTTCATTTTTTTGAATCTGCCCTGGAATAATTTAGTTTGATGCACTCTTGTTCTCTGTTACGTTAGTTATGATTTGCACACAGTGGAGAAGTTAGGCTCAAATTTCCTAAAGAAGTTGTTAGTGAACAACTCTCTCTTCTGCCTTTTTGCACTGTCCAGAATGATCTGCATGTACTGAGCCTAGTCCTTCTTCTCCTTGGTTTTGCAGCTATAATTGAGCCCGAAAGCTGATATGACTCTATACTAAGCAAATGTTAAGAGGCATCCTCAGCAGAAAAAAAAGGCCAACATTTCAGAATATTTTAACACATACATATGACTTCATATAGCCTAACTTTTGTTAGCCTGTGCTTTTAATATGTAGATGTGATACAAGGAAATAGCCAAGAAGTAGCAGATTCATTATGGCCAGTCTTTGACTTCTGCTCCTAACACTATTGGCAACTTCTTTCCTTAGAAAATTACTTAATAGTATCATTGATTTCTCTTCTTCTTCTAAGCTCAGCTTTGGAGGAATCCCAGTGCCTGGAAAGTCAGGGACATTGTCGCGCAGGCACTTTCATGGGTGTTTTGAAAATATTTATTATAACGGAGTGAACATTATTGACCTGGCCAGGAGGCATAAATCTCAGATCTACTTTGTGGTAAGAGATTTATAGTTAAGAAAGAGTAAGTAAATAAAATAAAGAAAAGAAAAAGACCACAGCCACTTTCATATGCAATCTGTTAACACAGTTCTAGTAAATTCTTTGTTGTTTAATGAAAGAAAAATCAAGGAATACCTAACTCAGGTATTTTATATTTGCTGATGTACAGACCCATCCAGCAGACAGTGCAAGATGCATTTTATTCTTCAGCTCTTTAGCTGATATTTAGATGTGTGTGATATATCACTGTTGTGTGGTATGTCACTGTTGTGCATGTATTAAAGCCAGTGAGTAAAACAAGATGTATTGGAAGCCATCGAAGCTCTGGCTTTGACTTCTGTACTTGACTATGAAGAACACCAACAGTACATTGCAAAAGCTTTCTATTGCTGAGGACACTGATATGCTCTGTTTTCTCCAAAGCATTATAATTTTGACAGATAAGTTCTGTTTGTCAATTTATACTGCCCTTTGTCTGAAGAGCTGTACTTTATGTTGGTGGGTTGAATGTATTTGTTGTGACACGGCCAACAGTTATATTAGCCAAATCCCTAACATTTAGAGAAATCGTTCCAATAATGAATCAACATTCTTCTGTGTTACAGGAGGTTTTCTATAAATTTTACTAACTCCTTTGATTATTTTCCAATAGTATCTCTATTTGCAGTATTTATTTATTTAGCAGCAGGAAATGCAGAGATATGAAGGAAACAGTAAGTTCAAAACAATTAACAAAAGAGGAAGTACTTTCGAGTTCCAAATATGGTTTGGATTTAAGTTCAGAATGTGGATAATCAAATTTGTTTCTCTGTCCCAGAAGAAATGAATGACAGATATCTCTTCTGATGTGAAGCTCATCTGAAATATTCCAGAATTAACTAAACTGGTACCTCCGTATAATATCCCGTCCATGATGTTGATTGATGTTGGGGAGTAGGCAGTTACAGGAGTCTCCGTGTGGACTAGTGAAAGGGAAACTACGAAATTACTGTCATAGGAAATTTCATCATCTTCATCTCTAAAGATTTGAACTATTGTCCTACTTTCAAAACTATTTAGGAGAGGTTTTATAATGTTAATGTGCCAGAAAGTGTTTATGTTACCAAAGAACCATTGTGGAATAGCCACTTTGCTGGTCTGATTCAGTATCAGGCAGCTGTCCAGATAACGTGGAGCAGGAATCTGCAGATGGTAAGCTTTTAGCATTTAGCAAGGTTTATTAGTCTGATGACTGTGTTTCACAACGGGTCAGTTCAGTGGACTATTCAGTTCTCTACAGCTGATTTAACAAGACAGTGCTTTTATTTATTTACATATATTCCTGGAAGAAAACGACTTGATTTTTAGACTAACACATTCAAATATTACAAATATTATGTTCTATGCAGTGTTTTGAAACTGTGTAGTTTCCATACAAAATTTCTCTTGACTGTTTTTCCTCAGATATTGCTAATGCCAGATTTGTTTCATTTCTTTCTAGGGCAATGTGTCCTTCTCATGTTTAGAGCCGCAGGTAGTTCCTGTCACGTTTCTGAGCTCCAGAAGTTACCTGGCACTGCCAGGCACATCAGGGCAAGATGAAATATTCATCAGTTTCCAGTTTCGCACCTGGAACAAGGAGGGATTTCTATTATCTAATAAACTACACCAGACTTCAGGTGGTTTCCTCTTATATCTGAGTGATGGGAAAGTTAAAATCAGTCTTCATAAACCAGGAAAAGCACTGAGTGACATCACTGCAGGTAACGGAAATAAAAAAAAAATCCAAGTTTCCTACACATGAAAAATAAGTTAATGTAAAGTCATTTACTACATTCTTGACTTTGTTTTATGACTAGTATGTGTGCAACTATGCTTTACCTCTGTGAATTTTAATGCAAAATATTTTCTAAATACCTTCTTTTCTCACAAACATGTATCTATGCCTTTTTCCCTATGATTGAGTAGGCTTCAAATCTGACTCCTTAGCTTTACATACATACACTATGTAATTCTCATGTGTATAATCTGGGAAATTTGAGAAATCGAAGCAACTTTTCCAGTTGTGAAGTGTAAACAAGTTAATTTGTTACTCTGTTATACTAAGCCATTCAGATATTTGTCAGTGTCTTTACAAGGCATCAAGTAACTCATTTTTTCTGTAGAGTTATACATTATTTTAAATATTGTTTGTTATTTTCTGGAGGTCTCAATTACAAAGCTTTTCATTACATTTGGACAGTGGATGCCCAATAGCAGATTGTGTTCCAGAAATCTGGGGCAAGTTTGAGTCTACATTAAAAAAAAAAAAAAAAAAGAAATTTATAGTAAGGACAAAAAGAAATGGAGAAGTTGAGGAGAGCTGAAGGGTCACTTGTATAGCTAGTTACTGAATTGAGACTAGGTCAGCTACTGTTGGTAGTGTGCACTGCTAGGCAGCCCTCAGGGCAGAGCTGAGATTTCCAGAAAGTGTACCCTCTAGTCATCTTCTAAGCCATTTCACTGTTGGTAGACAAATATATAAGGACAAGAGGATGAGGCAAGTGCAGTAAGATACAGTCATGTTAGAGAGTGCCCAGCGGGGATTCTGAGAAGCAGCTCCCAACTTTCACTTAGTTTGAGAGCAAGGAGACTCCTGCTTTCACAAAGAGACTCCCCATTTTTCCTGAGTGCTGTTAGCACTTGATATGAGTACAGCAAGACTACTGACCCAGCCAGGAATCTCCTTCTTTCAGGAAAAGTGAGAGTAGGACAAAGCCAACAACATCTCCATCTTCCACGACTTAAAAAATGGTGAGAAGCAGTAACATCACCATGTGATAATATCAACACCTTCACCTAACAGCACTTCATCAGTAGTATACTGTGCTCTGACACTCCATGCATCACAGCTACCTCAGAGTTTCTCATCCTTTATGTAGACAAATTGAATTTTGCCCTTTTCTTGTGGAGGGATAAAATGATCATTCCAGAAAGACTTTTCAGGCAGGAAAAACAGAACTAGAGAGATTAGGCAAATAAATGGGATTCCAAAGAATATAAGAAAATGAGGAAATGAGGCTGGGACTGGAGTGGTTTCTGTACAGACAAAGAAGATAACCAGAGACCACTAGCTGGAGGAATATGTCATAGAAGCAATGGGTAATTTGACTGCAGAAAGCACGATGATGATATTCAAATTATTAGTTGATCCTAGATTTATTTTGAACTGTACACTGTCATATATTTCATATTCATAAAAGAAGTGTATTATCAGTGAAAAAGAAGAAGTTAGTTCCAGTAATGTAATGTGTAAACTGAATTAAGAGGTGAATAACAAACAGGAAAACTTTGTCTTGCATTGGTATTTAGAAAATAAGTTAAGGATTTGAACGTGTGAAGAATTAAGTCTTGAATAGAGTATATTCATTGGAGTGATAGGAACCAAACCAAAGGCATCTTCTAGGGTAATTTTCAAACCAGAATATAGAGCTTGAGCTATTGCTTGAGCAATAACAAATCCAGTAAGTAGACTAAGCAGTTACTGAAATAAAAATAATAAATACATAAAAAAATAATTGTCATAAAATTGAAAGCCTCTAAATCTCTTTCGGACATCACAGAATTAAAGAAGTTATGTAAAAGTGAAATAAGATTTCAGATAAAAATTATATTCAGTGCAAAAATAAAAGAAGAATCGCTTATCTAAAATGTTGCATATCAAGTGCTTGACAGTGTAATGCAGACAAAGAGAGAAAAGCAGATTCAAGCAGAGCAAAAAAACAGCCAAAAGATTGAAGATGAGGCCTCCTTAATCTTAGTTCTGTGCCCCTGTTTCTTTTAGATTGATTTCTCACTTCAGTTCCTGATACAACTTCAATTCCTGATACAAAATGAAAATTCCTTTGAGAGGAAAAATAAAAAGAAACAGGAAAAAGTTAAACGTAACTCTGAAGTTAGTTATGTTTCTACAGGTGTATAATGATTAAAAGTAAATTTTAAACAGTTCATAATTTTATTTCAGGAAAAGACTGTAAGCCAGTAATGACCACAGGTGATGCTGAAATTTACACAAATACTTTGATAGTGTTTCTGTGGGTGATAATAGGATCAACCCTGGTTTTTGTTATAATCTAAAATAACAGCCACAAAGAGTACTATTGTAATGACAAGAGGTTTCCCTAGACTCACCATCTGAAAATGTCAATCACTTAGTAAGAATGTCAGTGGTATGTAGTTAACAGTGATGATTTCGTCTTTTTAGGAGCTATTTCAATTGCAGTTCAATTAGTTATGTATATTAAAGAAACTATTGTCATACAGTGTCATTTTAGCAGACCAGCTGAAGGTGGTGGCCCTTTTAACAGCTGAAGACTGGCACACAGAACAATTTATTCAATTTCAAAGTTGCAACTCTATACATAACATATTAACTGAAATACCCTAATACAAATCTTGTTACTCTATGCTGAAACAGAAATTAATGTTCTCATGCTATGTTAAGCTTACTCTTCTTAAAGTCTAACAGGAGGAATTGTGTTTGCCTTTGTGAAGACAGAAACTACTGCAAAAACATCATATTCTCTTCTAAGAAATAAGTTATCTAACAAAACCATATGGGGAACTTAAGAGTTTTTGGAGTGTTTATAGTCACACTTACTGAAGCAATTCAAGTCTTCTGTTAGAGAATGAGTAATTAAATTATGGGGGTCTGGACAGGTTTCTTCCCCTACAGGCAAGGACATCACCTAACTTTCACACAAACACATGATGTTGGACAAATAAATCAGAGCATATTTCTTTGTACACTGTTCTTAAATTCATTATCATGTGTTTTTAAAGATTTCTTCAAACATATAAAAATGAGGAGAATGGTAATTAATGAGTGATTAAGTTATAATAACACGTATCTTTTTCAGAATGATTGCTTAATGTGTTTCCTTTGTAGACTCTTTTGCAAGCTGGTTCTCAAATATTCACAAAGAAATAACATAGATTAAAAAAAAAGAAATGAACACAATGTTAATTTGTGTTGAATGATGAGACCAAATAGAATTATCTGTACAAATGTTTGAGATCTTATTACTCAGTTTCTTCATATGACTCTGTCTTTCTACACAGCACTTAATTTCTATCCAGCTTTTAATTAAGTGGTGTTAACAGTCATTGCATTTGATGGTTATACTTCAGACTAATCTATAAATTATTTTCTCTGAACTAGTTTTTTTAGTTACTCACTGATCTCCTAATAAGACATATACATTTTCTTTTTACATATAGGTGTTCCTAAGGTTGGATGTCATTGTTCTGCAAAACCTCCCCCAGACCTTTCTTTTAGTGCTTAGATATTAAAATGATGGATGTACTGCTAATGAGAATACATGGATATCTTGTTTAATAGGTACCTTAACATGTACTAAAGATTTAATTGCTATTTTTTCCTCACTTGTTTCTATTAAAGTATTTTTAGAACTCCTAGTGGAACACCAGACAGTATAAATTTCAGATGGAATGGAAATGTTAGCATTCTGTTGGCATCCACCCTTTAGAAGTTGTACCGTTTTGTGGCTTTGCACAAGGAAATGTGAATTTAGTCAAGGTTCTCTATTTCAGGGTTACAATGAGCTGTTTTCTCAGAATTATCTTGTACTCTCACAGTGGCATTCCTCAGTCCCTAGATTTAATGAAGGGGACTTTTGGTAAGTCTTGACTTAAGCTATATGAATGTCATTCAGTATCTCTAATCATGCCAGCCTGTGTGAAGATGAGATCAAATAACCATCCCAAAATCATTTAGTAGGTCAGTATGATAACTACAGTAAACAAACCAAAAAGTGCAAAATTAATATAATCAATTTTCCAGTAATCAAAATATTTTTCTACTTCAGTCATTTATTTAACCTCCTTTATGTTAGGGCATTCTCTTTCCTGTTTTGACAGTCACATATTGGAATATTTGGAATATGATTTTCTCCCAGAACAAGAAGTTTAGTAAAGTAGGACCTAAAACTGAGAATTAAAAACAATTATCCTTGCAGTAATTGAAATGAAATTACAGAATTTATTGTTAGATTTAATATATTCAGTAATAGCATAGATAGTGAGTTTGAGTATATCCTCAGCAAGTTTGTTGATGGCACTAAGTTGAGTGGTGCAGTTGGTTCACTAGAAGGAAGTGGTGTCATCCAGAGGGACCTTGGCGGGCTGGAGGAGTGGGCCTATGTAAACCACATGAAGTTCAACATGGCGAAGTGTGATGTTCTGTGCCTGCATCAGGGCAATCCCTGATATACAGACTTGGGGGTGAATGGACTGAAAGCAGCCCTGAGGAGAAGGACTTGGAGATACTGGTGGATGGAAAATTGGATATGAGTGGACAATGTGTGCTCATAGGGTAGAAAGCCAATTATATCCTGGGCTGCATAACAAGAAGCATGGCCAGCAGGTCGAGTGATTCTCCCCCTCTACACCACTCTCATGAGACCCCATCTGGAGTTTGTGCCAAGCCATGGGGTTCCCAACATAAGAAGAACATTGAACTTGTTAGAGTGGGTCCGGACAAGTGCCATGAAAATGGTCAAAGGGCTGGAACACTTCTCCTATGAAGAAAGACTGAGAGAGTTGAGGTGGTTTGACCTGGATAGGAGAAGGCTTTCGGGATACTTTATTGTGGCCTTTCAATACATAAGCTGGGGCTTATGATAAGAATGGAGAGAGAGCTTTTTTTCCCAGAATCTGTAGTGATAGGAAAAGGGGCAGTGGTTTTAAACTGAAAAAGGTTGGGTTTATATGTCCCACCACTGGAAGTGTTCATGCTCAGATTGTATGGGGCTTTGAGCAACATGATCTAGTAAAAGAATTCCCTGCAAATGGCAAGGTGATTGGACTAGATGATCTTTAAAGGTCCCTTCCATCACAAGATATTCTATAATTCTGTGATTCCCAAAGGAAAAGATAGCATATTGCAGAGATGTGACTGAGAAAAATATTCACTTCAAGTACCTTTACAAATAAAAAAAATCCTTGCTTAATTTTAGAGAAGAAGTGAAAGAAGGTGGAGCTTTTGGTAGCTGGGGATGGAGGCTAGAAAGAGGGAAATAAATAAGTAGAAAAACAATTCCTTTTAAAAAAATTATTTTCTGAAAAGTCTAATCTTAAAAACATGGCTTTACAAACTATATGTATTTTAAAATTTAGCTTCTTATTGAAGAAAAATTCTTCAATGATTTATAGAAGGAAACTAATTATATTACCGGGAATTGGGAAAAAACCCTTTCTCAGACTTAATTTTCTGTGGTTTAAAAAATACATTATTCATATTCTCTGTTTTAACATAGCTAGTTTCTCTTTGATGAAAGAGCATAGTTCGCTGAAGTTCGTAGTGGTATAAAAGACCTAAGGAAGGTTTATCTGTTTGTGATTCTTTGTTGATTTTTTTTTGAGGTTAGTAAAACCTTTCGATATATTTGATGAGTTCTTGCTGTAAAATAGTGTTAAAAAAATAGGAGAGGTAAATAATAGTACTCGTCAAGTCTAGACACTTCATTATACAGTGTGACTCATCTATGCCCATAATATTGCAAGACAGCAATAATATTTTTCTAATGCTTTATCTACTTTATTTTTTAAATGTCTGTTACACTTCATATTACCTAGCCAAAATATAACTAGACACAAAATAGCTAGGTTTTAAAGCATTTTCTTAATCCTCAGCTCAATAAAATGCCAGCCCTAACATAAAATATACTATCCTGAATTTGTATTAACTGCCACCAGTACAAAGGGACTTCTTCAGCAGGTGGACACCTTAAAAATCTAGTCAGTCCCTCCACGTTGCCTCTAGGGCTATGTAAAACCTTGTTACCACAAGATTACCCCTCTACAGGTGACCTTTTGGTAGCCAGCTGTAACAGTATTAGTACTATTTTATACTGTATGGAATAAGGTATCCAATTTTTATTTCAGTAAAAAGTCCATCTCTATAAATGTCAAGAATATGGACTTTCACAGAAGCATAAAATACATCTATTTAATGCTGAATATTTACTCTAAGTGTACTGCTCCTGTTAGTAAACTCACATGCCACTTCTCATAGAAGATAGCAACCAAAATTAGCAATGGCCAGAGTGGTATCAGAAAATCTGTGACTGCAGCCCTGTGCTTTCTGCCATAATAGAAAGGTGAATTGTTCCTGAAAGTGCAACACAAAGATAAGAAGATCTGTTAGCCTCTAGTCTTTCTTGAACTGGGAAGCCCAGAACTGGACACAGTACTCCAGATGGAGCCTCACTAGGGCAGAGCAGAGAGGGAGGAGAACCTCCCTCAACCTGCTGGCCACACTCTTCTTAATGCACCCCACGATACCGTTGGCCTTCTTGACAACAAGGGCACACTGCTGGCTCATGGCCAATCTGTCATCCAGCAGCACTCCCAGGTCGTTCTCCACAAAGCTGCTTTCCAGCAAGCCTGTACTGGTGTGGGGCATGGCATTGTTCCTCCCCGGGTGCAGGACCCTGCACTTGCCCTTGTTGAACTTCATCAGGTTCCTCTGCACCCTACTGTCCAGCCTGTCCAGGTCTCACTGAATGGCAGCACAGCCTTCCGATGTCTTCACCACTCCTCCCAGTTTTGTGTCATCAGCAAACTTGCTGAGGGTACACTCTGTCCCTTCATCCAGGTCATAGATGAGCAAGTTGAACACGACTGGGCCCAGTACTGACCCCTGGGGAACACCATGAGCTACAATCCTCCAACTAGACTCTGCGCCACTGACGACAACCCTCTGAGCTCTGCCATTCAGCCTGTTCTCAATCCACTTCACTTTCTATGCATTTAGCTCAGCTTCCTGAGCTTACCTATGAGGAATTTATACTAAACATATTAGAGATATTTTCTAGACGATAATTTATCTGAATCTATAAAGTGATTCTAAGATTTATCTCTGGATTGTATGCTGATCTTGTATTTAGGCTGTGGTGGTTAACACTATATGTATCCTAGTTACGATATAATTTGAACTTCCTCATTTATTCACTCCTCTAATTTATTTCCTTTCCTTCTGTTTGAACTAATCGTTTGACTGGTGGACTATTTCTTTAGAATATACAAAACATTCTAGAAAGGAGTGTATAAATAGATGAAATTTTGAGAGGGATATCACAGATCACAAATCATAGGTACTCTGCAGTCAAGAAAAGACTTTTACATACTTCAATGGTTCTATTCTTTGTTCTTCACTGAAAGAAGTATCTCTGTTCTGAAGACCACTCAAGAACACGCTGGACATAAAGAACTTAAAGTTAATAATGTGCTTACATATGGCCCTGTATAAAATTTCTTCAAATATATATGTGTTTTCCAGAATCAGAGCTTTAGATTTATTGCTTTGTGGCACCTTATATCTACACAGCCAGAAGTAATGTAAATTGGTGTTAGAGGCTAAACTTTCAGAAGATTTTCCCATATATTTCCAATAAAAGAGACAACTGAAAGAAAAATAGTCTTGTGGCATCGACATGACGGTTGGTGAAGCTTTTAGCATTCACAGGATTTTGCTATTTTACTAGGTTATAATATAATGACTACATTTGATTTTAAAGATGAAGAAATCATTTGTAATTGTGCTGTAAAAATGTGTATTGTGTAAAATGCTGAGTCTTCCATCACAATGATATCTTAATGATAAGCTCCTTAGATTGGGAGCGTACTTTTCATAGTCACTATGTTAAATGGATGTATTGCTGATAATTAGGAGTATTACAGCTGTAAGGCCTATTCACTGAAGTACTTTTATTTTTTCTTTGTCAGATGTGAAGCAAGGCAATGGACAAGGGCTCTGTCTTCACAGAAGACTTATATGCTCTTTATTCATTTTCTTTTTCTTTCATGATCACCTGGAGTTTTCACATTGACTATGATTTTTATACTAGTCTCTCCTCCTTTCAAATTTATAACATTCAGGTAGTATAACAAATAATGGATGTTTATACCTCATTTTTGTTTTTGTTTTCCTTCCAGGTGTTGGATTAAATAACGGCCAGTGGCATTCTATATCCTTCTCTGCCAAAAAAAATCGTATCAGTGTAATAGTGGACAATGATGTGACCTCATCTGCTCATGCCTCCATACCTCTGCAAATTTATTCAGGAGATGCTTTCTACTTTGGAGGTGAAATATGTTGTTTATTTATGCTGCTAATATCCCACAGTTAAACATCAATTTTTCCTGGCGTAATTCGTCAAATGGCAAGAATTATTTGGCTTCCCTGACGTCTTCTTTACCTACTCGGATATCTCTCAAAGGATCTGGTTTTCAGGCACTGCTACGATGCTTTTGAGTTTGTGCTTCCTTAAAATTTTATAATGTTTAAATTACCACCCTATATAATTTTTCATTTTTTAGAACATCGTTTTCAGGTATCATAGTCTAATAATTGAATATAGTCTTGCGGAGAATCAGACAAACACAAAAAAAGTCACTCTTGTCGCACACTTACTGTGTTGCTAAATCATTTTTTTGTAAGAATCTTCCACCAGGATGACTTCAAGTTTTCACCTTAACTTAATGCTTGCTTACTTATACAAATATGGTCTTTACATGATACACACTCTTAATTTTTTTTTTTTACAAGAGTGACACACCTTTTCAATGTTTGGAGAATTCATCTTATACCTAAAACGTACGTTTAGATATCTTCATTTCTCTAGGATTATCGACAGTTATCTGTCACCAAGTCATTTTGTTATGAGTCGTATATATTGTTACTGATAGAGCTGAGTGTGTTGTTTTGTCTAAATCACTTGAGAATGGACTACTAATAGCAATATTAAACGGCTTCTGAATGCATTATTCAGCACTAGCCTAATGCTTCATGTCTTAGCTTTATGACTGAACTATTTATTAGCAATTCTCAGATTTCAGAGAAAATTTAAAACTGCATGCAAAACCCTAGATGAGTATGGACCACGTCATAGTCCACAGATCAGTTCCCTTGAAAAAATAGGTTGTAAATAAATTCCATGCTCACAAAGAGACTGTAAATATAGGAACTGCTGCATGAGCATCAATGTGACTTTTCACATCTGGCATCTAGCCTTTACTAAACTTGTCACTTGACCTGGCTGATAATCAGAGAAAGATACAGATTATTGGCCTTGAATAGCCAGGAAACCTTTTTTTTTTCCCCTTCTGTGTTGCTTCAGGTTCCCACATCTCTGATTAGGTGATTTGCGCTATTGCAGGGTTGATGGCACAGAACAGGAGGGATGTGGGGAATTGCAAAAAGCAGCATATTCAATTAAGTTGTACAAGGACTTTTCTATTTATCGCTGGTGGGGTGGAGGGGGTAAGTTAATTCCAAGGACATTGAAAGTACTAATTGCATATCCACCTCTCAGCTTCTCTCCTTTCAGCTTTATAGCTGGAATCAGCAGCTCCTGCATGTCATAGAAACTTGAGGAAAACCAGTAGAAGGTTCCTGAGTTTAGAAAATTATTCATTAAAATTCTATGTCATATAGCATTATCAAAATGCCGACAATGTATTTTGACTTTCTTTCTGAGTTTATATGAGTATTTACTGTATTTCTATAAGCCGATTGTTAAAACAAGAATATCAGCCTTCCAGGAGAGGTGTCTTGGGGACATGGTTGCTAGTTTTCTTGTTTTATTGAATAGAAAGTGTGCAAGAAATGTGTATGCTTAACTGGGAAAATGTGTAATAAACATGGAAGTACTTTAGCATTGTGTCAGCACAATTTCTAGTCATGTTTTTGTCAAGCATATGGTACCTCTTTCAGTTCTTGGAATAATAATTCATTGTAACTATTAGGGCAAAAATAGATTAATATTGCAATAAGCACATATGGTAAATTTCATTATTAAATGATTTCTTCCTATCTTTAATACCCAGCCCATAATTATAAGAAATCTCAATTTCATTAATATTAAGGATGTTGCCTTCTCTCTAACAGAACTAGAAGACAGCTTTTAAAAGACAGACATCACAAAAAAAATCTGAGACGATTTTGTAGAATAGCTAAGTGTGAAAGTTATAAACTTTTCTGCCTTCTGTGGCCTTTTTTTTAAAAAAAAAAGTAATATGAACTCCACTGGAACTATCTTATTCTCAAATGAGTGTAAGATTTTTCACAAAAAACAGAATTTATTTTAACATTTTATTGTAGAATGCCTAAAGAATGTGGTTATACCTGTAATTGATTTGTCTGTGTGTGGTGCTGAAAAGTTACTGTGCTCCTATTTGGACTTTTGCAAGTCCGTGGATTTGTTGTTCTTAGAGCAATATAAAAAGCAGATAAAAAATGTTTTCCTTTAGAAAGGTAATAACAGTTTTGAACAGTTTGGTTCCTCACCAGAGTACAAGACATGGAGAATTTATTTACTTATTCCATTTCCATTTTAGTTCATTTTCTATCGTATACTTCTTAAAAACATATCTATACTATTTATGTTGTTGTACACTCATTTGAACAGATTTACTAGTTTCCACTGTCATTTTACTTTCCTGCATAGTAAACCTCTGCACTGTCTTTACAGGACTTCAGAAAATAACCATTAGCTGTGTGGAATAAAGAAAAGTCTTAGAAGTTACTGCTTCCTAACATCATGAAGCAAGAAAGTCTTTGAATGCTGTGAACCAGAATGCAGTATTGTTTGACTGAGATCAAAGAATGGCCCTTGTGCATCATTCCAGAAGCAATATTACCCTTTGGAAGAACGCAAAATAAAAAAATTTTTAGGCATATTTCGTCATGCAGTGTTCAGCTGCCGCTGGGAAAAAAAGCTCAATGTACATGGTCTAACTCAAATCAGGACTGAAGCAATTTACTGGTTTATTAAAAATCAGTGAACAAGGCATTTCAGGATCAGTAACGCAATAGGCAAAGCATAATATTAGATACTTTCAGAACGTTCTTCATAGGTTGGATAGGACATCCAGACATTTTCTAGTCCAACCATCTGTTCTAAACAAGTATGATTAGATCAGGGTGTGCAGGGCTGAGACGACTCAAAACTTGAACAGCTCCATGGATGGAAATCTCATAACTCCTCTGAGAAAACGGCCCTCATATTAACCACCTGCATCGTAGAAACACTTGTTACTAATGTCTGATCAGAATTTGCCATTTTTTACTTTTGTCCTTTGCCTCTTGTTTTGTTGCTGTGCACTTCTAGAAAAAGTTTCGCTCCATCTTCTCTGTATCATTTTGACAGATAGTTTTATCTTTTTTTAAGACTGAACAGGCCCAGCTTTCTCAGCATCTCCTCATACAACCTGTGTATTCAGCTCCTTGACCATCTTGGAGGCCTCCACTGGACTCACTCCAGGATGTCAATTTCTTTCCTGTGCTGGGGAGTCCAGAACTATAGCACTCCAGATGTGATCTCACAAATGCCACACAGAGGGAAGGATCATTTCCCCAGACCTGCTGGCTGTGCTCTTGATAATACAGCCCAGAATACCTTTGGCCTTTTGTGCTGCAAAGGCAAATTCCTTGCTTATGGTCCACCTGTTGGCCACCAGGACCCCAGGCCTTTCTCTATGAATCTAGGCAGTTAACCTCCAGCCTGGATAGCTGCATGGACTTGTGCCATTTCTTGTTTCTCCAGTCTACCCAGGCCCCTTTGAGTTGCAGCCTTGCCCTCTAACATTTGACCCCTGCCCCCAATTTGATATCAGTCACAGACTTGCTGAAAATACCTTCGGTTCCGTCATCCAGGTCATTAATGAAAACATTAAACAGCATAGCTCTCAGTACTGATCTCTGAAGGACCCTCTGTTCATTGACAATCAACTGGACTTTGCATCATCAATTGGCTGCTTAGCTTATCAATCTGGTGACAGGGAGGCTACAGAAAACTGTTAGGGGCTTTGCTAAATTCAAGGTATGCAATGTTCATTGCTCTCCCTTTGTCCACACTGCCCATCTCTTCAGCAAAGAAAAGAAAGAACTTGGTCAGGCATGATTTAGCTTATAGTTACCCAGTTACCTTCTTGTCCTTGACATGGTTAGAAATGGCTTCTAAGAGGACTAGCTCCATGAACTTGCCAGGGACTGCAGAAAGGATGACTGACCTGTAGTTTTCTGTGCCGTCCTTCTTGCCTATCATGAAGATGGATCTAACATCTGCCTTTTCCAGTCATCAAGAAGCTCACCAAATTGCCAACATGTTTTGAGGGTTAAAATGTTAATAGCTTCACAAAGACAATGGCAATTGTTACAATGACATTGGCGAGCTCCTCAGGTGTCCCTTGGACTCTTTCTTCCTTTAATGTGGGTACTTCTTCCCTTCTTCATGCTCTGCTAGGACATGGGAAGCCTAAGGATTAGTTTTACCAGTGAAGACTGAAGGAAAATGGCCTTGTACAAATCATTTCCTCTCAAGGCCCTTGTCACTAGGTCCCCTGCCCCATGGAGTACTACACCCATAATCCCCTTAGCCTTCCGTTTGCTACTGTTGTGCCTATAGAAACCTTTTTGTTGCACTTCATCTTCCTAGATAGTTTTAATTCCACCTGAGATCTGGATTTCCTAACTGCATTCCTAGACATGCAGGTAGTAGCTTTATATTCACCTCCAGATTGCATGTCCTTACTTCCACCTCTAGTATAGTTTCTTTTTGTGTTTACACTCACTCAGGAGCTCCATATTTATGTTTGCAGGCCTTCTGCTTCTGTACTTAACTATGTTTGTGGTAGACTTTTCTTATGCTCTGAAGAGTTTTTTGTTGAAAAATATCCAACCTTTTTTCTTTCTAAGGTAATTTCCAATGGCATCCCCAAAACAAGTCCCGAACAGACTGGCATTGGCTCTTCTGAAGTCCAGGGTTGTAATTCTGCTTTTTTTCTTGCTCTCTTCTTTGTGGATCTCAAACTCCGCAGGATGATATTTGCTGTAGCCAAGACTGTCCTTCACCTTTATATTTTCAACCATTGCTCCCTTGTCTACGAGTAGCAGGTCCGACAGAGCATCTTTCCTGGTTGCGTCATTGGTGACGTCCATCAAGAAATTTTCTTCAGTACTTTCTGAAACTTTCTGGGCAGCTTGATAAATAAAAATCACTGTACTTAGTAACTAATTTTTGTCTTATTTGACTTCAGGTGTGACTTAAAACTTGTCCAAATTATGTGCACCTCGTATTGTAACCTAACATTTCGTGACTAAGTTTAGTCAGTCAATCTGTTTACAACTTAATTCCATTCATTGCTTTGGAACTGCTGCTTGGCTTATCCTTTACCCAAATTTTTAGTGATGCTTTTGCATATGTTTTAAAGACAGTGAGACTGCACAGAAGTACTTCATTACAATTGCACTACCATGCATAATCAGAAGAGCTTCTGGCTGAAATCTTCCACTCACAAAGTTTACAATACCTGGAGATTATCAAAGTTCAGTCTACTTTTGGAATATACATTCTTTTCAAAAACACTTTTTTTTTCAGCTCCAGGTTTTATGCTTCTTTCAGGCTGTCCTAGCAATGGAGACATTTCTGAATGTAATACCTCATTTGGTGGCTTCCAAGGATGCATGCGACTCATTTCCATTGGTAACAAAGCAGTGGATATGATCTCAGTTCAGCAAAATGTTTTTGGCAATTTCAGTGACCTTCAGATAGATTTATGTGGCATTACAGACAGGTAAGAAAATAATATTTACTCATTTATTTATTTATTTACATGTTTTGTTTCCAATACTGACATGATGACAAAGAGCAGAACACTTACAAAATGACATATTTCTTCTTTTGTAAGAATTCAATAGTCTAGAATAAATGCAGTATACATAGCATAGCGATTAGATTTCCATGCACTGAAAAAAGTTAGAGTAACTAGGGTTTAACTTATTTTATATTTCTGACAATTTTTAAATATCTTATTTTCTTTTCATGTAAAGCTATAGACACAAAACCCCTCCTGTGACATGTAGTCCCATTCACCTTTTGAAATACTATGCTCTTTGCAAGTTATTGTTGCTATATTCTACCCATCCAGAAACACAGTAGATAGTATTCGTCACAGTGAGTGAGCAATTTTTTGTAGTCTATGGTCACAACAATCTCATAATTTGCAATAGAAGGTAGTAGCTTCTATCTAAAATAGTGACTAGTTAAAGTGGCTCCCTTTGCAGGAAGGAAAGACTATATACTTTCCCTGAAATAGACTAAAATACTTGACAGAAAGATGTTGTTTGAGATCAGCATGGAGAAGGCAGAGGGTAAATCAAAATAGTTGTTGCAGAAAGGCAGAGGTTGCTGAGAAGAGAGGGAGCAGACACACAACAGGCAGTGGAAAGAGAAGTTTTCTGCTGTAGACTCAGGAGAATGCAGCCATGGGGATCTGTGCAAAGTCTGCTTTAATCTAGAAATGGTTGCTTTGGACCAAACTAAAAGGCTGTACTGAAACGGTAAAACAGGCAGGGGAAAGATGTGCTGATAAACACTGCTCCTCCACTCCTTAAATTTCTAGTCCTCAAAAGTTGGTTTTTGATCTGAAAAAGTCTGGCCTTTGAATTATAAGACTTAAAAATTGCTCTGTTTGAGGAGAACTGTAGGCAGAGATCTACTTCAAAACAATAAGCCTATTTCAGGTTCAGTCAAATACGTTTTTCTGTGACCTTCTTTCCATTCATAGAGATAACACAGTGTAGATCCACCCAGATTATTATTTTGAAGAAAGTCACGATGCCTTGTAGATCAAAGACAAAAATAATATTAGGTCTTTACCTAATTGTTCATAAAAGTTTATGGAGAGAAACCTCAAAGGGAGGCTGAAAAATCTGCCTACAATGTGATCCTTTCAATTATGTTGTGATGTGTATTCTCACTAATCTTTCCACATCTGTTATAAGAACTTACACAGTTGCATATGTATCATTCTTTGTGCTAATTTATCCCTTACTTAGTTAATCCTGACTTTGCAGTGGGCAGTAAGTGTAATAGACATATGGCAAATCGGAGTTTGGCCTCAGTCAAAACCTTACCACATGACTTGTCAGGGATTTGTATTTGGGATGCAGCATACATTTATGTTTCTTTTCAGCTTCCTTGCATGCTGCTCCCTTCAATTCACTTTCTCATTTTTCAAACTTCTTGCACTGTCTTCTTCCTCTTTTCTCTGACAGACCTCATGACACTTCCTTCCAGCTTGTAAAGCTCTGTATTGCTGCTGTATTTTTGACTCTGGAATTGAACTTACTCCACTTTCATTACACTGCTTGCGTTGTTTTGCCTGTAGTAAAGAGACAGAATCAGGGACAAGATCAGGTCGAAGGAATGCAATGTGAGGAACTGCATATTACTTAGTCACATGCATTACAAGAGGTCTAAGCAAGATTATCAGTGAAAAATATCACTGAAATGGCTCGTAAAATAATTGATGTAAATTTCTGTCTCTGATTTACCATGTTTTTTTCAATGCACAGTGTAACCGGCGACCTCTCAAAATGCTCATCTCAGAGCAGTGGTTTGGGAACTATCTCTTCCTCTATGAAAACTTCACCTAAATTTTCAAAGGAAGATGGTACATTTTTATGTGTAGTGATACCAATTTCTTTCATCATTTCAATGGCCATAGTATGCAAGTGTGTACATAAGGATTTTTAAAAAGAAGTCTGTATCTATAAATATATATAAAGTCACTCTGTGAATCTCAGTATATAGTAATCCAGCATTATTTACAGTATTCCAAATGTCGTAACATTTGTCTCTTCTTCAGTACAAGTTCAGTTTATTCGGAACTACAACCTATCCTTTTGACTGCTTTTTTGTTGCTTTTAAGCACTGCATCAGAGGGGTTAGATTTATATACAGCCTTTCCTCATGTTTTTATCTTGCTGAATTTTTTATAACATATGAAGATAGCTACCATCCTTATTTTATGTCAATACCACTGTCATCTGTTTTTCTTCAGTATAGGGCTTGTGTAAGCCACTTAAACTTCCCAGCCGCAGTCTTTTTCAAAGTGTTTTATTACTTCCTGACACTGTATTAACTCTTTTTTTCCATGTTTGTGTTACTCTCATAGTTCATCAAGATTATGTGTGGTTTCCTATGATCAATGATACCAAAGAGAAAAAAAAGTATTTATGGAAACTTTGTGGGCTTTTTGTAAAAATTTTCTAATTTCTGTCTTCTTATATCTAGAAAATTGCAATTTTTTGCACTAGCTCTACCAGGTTTATTTTTCAGATCTTAGCATGCTTGCCATATATCTTCCTAACTTATCAAAATAGAAATTAATTCCACCCATTTTCATCAATTTCATTGCACTCATTATCTTTCATTTCAGAAGAGACTGTTTTTAAGAATCCTTCCTTGTCTTGTGCTAGCTTGCTCCAGGGACTGTTTCTTTCCAGTTTCTTCACAAAGTCTCATTCCATTTGATATCTGAAGCACATCATCTGGAACAAACTTCGTGTTTCTCTTTATCAAACTAATTCTACATCTCAGCATAAATCGCAGTTGATAAGATACATTATTCTTTGTCAACATTAAAATTATTTACATGCTATTAAACAATTTCTAACAGGTGGCTTGTATCATCTTGTGCACCATACCATTTGACAGAAAATATTTTCTTCCTGCAATGATTTCTATATGTCTTTGGTTGCCCTAAGCTAAAGTAATCAGCATTCTTGCCGCTCTGCTCCCGATGGTAGATATTCCCCCTGCAGCTGAGGGAAAACAAACCAATTCTTTGTCTTGGAGCCTTTATGGGAGTGTTTGCATCTTCGATTCCAAATAGTGAAGGATGACCCAAATTCTGGAATTATTGATAGATATGTCTTAGAAAAAGCTAACCGCTAAGTGTAGTAATTTTTCACATGTGAAGTACATGAACAGAAGTAAAAATTACTGTTTGCATAGTGATCTGAATTTATATGCAACAGTAAATAAATCAAAAATAATTCTGAATGCATTATTTATCGTATATATACACATACATTTAAGATAAGTAGAGTATTCTTTATGTTATCAGATTTACATTCCTCATTGACATATGGTTGGTTAATCATTCATTTATTTGTTGGGATATAATTTATTAAGATGTTCTTATTCTTAAACAAAGTAATTCCCTACCATTTTCCTATTTTCTGTTTTCTCCATTCCATAAACTTTACAATTTCTCCTCCTATGCTTAAGTTATTGTGACTGTTTCCAGTTTGTCTTCCCATGCTCCTTCATTTAGCCTGTAAGTTGTATAATATCTTTATATTGTTCCATTGCTTATGTACCTCTTGAGCATGCGAATAATTATTTCATCTATTTCTGCTTAATAACATTTCTCTCAGGTCCTTTATCAATATGTATTGGTTTAATAACTGCTAATTATACACAAACCATTGGCAAAATTATTTTGAAGGACACAGTGTCATTCTAAGTGACTTTTACAAATTTAGCGCATTTAGTGTCTGAGGACAGCATACACAGAAGAATCTGTTATAATCACATGAAGCCCTACACAGACACATAAAATTGCATGCCAGAAGTTATTACCTTTGGAGTCCTGGTAGCAGTGTGTTGTACAAAAACATAGAATAAATAGGTTTATATGTTTAAAAAAAAAAAGACACTGGCAACAGGATAGTTTTCAAATATTTTCCTCTCTTTTTATTTTTTATTTTTTATTTGAAGACTGAAGAAAGAAAAATAATGCAAAGTGCAGCAATTAATTATTCTTTTCAAAGTATCTTTTAGCCTTAGTATGGAACCATGATAAGAACATTGTGCACAAAAAATGTATTTAGTAGAGAATTGGCATATGAAGTTCTTACTTTTTCCTTCTTTAAGAAAGATATATTCATGTTCTGGATCAGTGTTCTCCTTTGAATACTAGCTTATGATTTTTATTATCCTGCTGCCTTGGTTTTAAATAATTTATAAATTTCGGATGTCATACACTTAAAAGCATATTATCAAGTAACTTGTGGTAAATGCCTAAGCAGCTGTTTTTTTTATGGTTTAAGCAGACATCACAATGAATCCAAAAATTACTTTTTAAAGATGAAGTATTCGAAATTCTTTTTCTAATATTGGAAATATTTTTGTTAGATGATTCATTTTCTTAGAGAAAGCAATGTTCTAAATCTTGCTTTGGGTAGGGTTGCAGCATATAAGCTAATTATATCTTCACTTTGATGTAGCCACTGGCTACTTTCTATTATGCAGTCTGAAACAGAGAAAAGATGTAAAATTTAATGTTAAAAGGTTTAAATTATACTTTGAATTGTTTTCACTTCTGTTAAAGTTGATTCAAGCATCATCAATTTCATCTAAGCTTTTCATCTTGTGAACACTATTAGGGAGATAAATTAATATGGACAGAGAGTCAATACAAGTAATGACCATGTAAATTTCTTGCCATTTTGAGACAATGATGTCTTTATCAAAAAGAAATAAGACAAGAAAAAAACTATGACTGAAATACATGCAAGCAGAGCAGCTGTCAGTGAATGCACTGGAAGTCCTGAATGGCAGTTATGTTAGAGGAGATGTTATTTATAATAACCGATGAATAGTCATACCCGTAGAAAGCAAAATTAAGCATTTATCCTAAGTATTACTATGCATATTTATACAACTCCTTCAAACAAAATATTTAATATCAAAGTAATTGTAAGCCTGGTGCTTAAAGTTAATTTTTATGTTCCAAACTAGAGCATACTGAGATGTATATCATCTATAAAACTTGTGTTAGAAATACACTCCTTGAATGAGATAATAGATACATTATCATCTCTTTCATTGGCAAAAATGTTACTTATTTCATTGAAACTAGGTGACCTATACCACTTCACTTGTTTTACCTACACTTTACCTGTTACTTCTTTTTTTTTTCTTTTCCCTTCTCTGAAAACCTCTGCTTGTTTATAACCATGAAAGGAAGATAAAATTCTTTGAGAGTCAGGAGCAGTAAATGTGAAAAGACCCTGAATTATTCATAGGGCAGATGCATGAACTGCTGGACTTTCTACAACCTTAATTTAATAACCTCCTAAGATTTCTTGAATGAATTAAAAGGTATTTTAATATCCTGTGAATATTAGTGGACCTGTTTTCTTTTTTCTGTGGTTCGTGTCAACAGTAGAACTTTTTTATACTTTCTGAGCTGTATCACTTAAGCACATATATATATATATACCCACTGCAGTTAAAATATTAACTAATTTCTAAGGTGAAAAGCTAGTAAATAGTTGGTTAGTGTACCACTCTTTCAGTATATTTGCAGTTGTGTTTATGGATAAGAGACATTTTCTTTTTTTCATCTCAGGCAATATTTTATACTTAGGTATAGTGCTGCAGTCTTAACTATTAAACAGTTACGGGCAAATGTTCTTTGAAGACAACCATTGTAAATCCAGAAGAAAGCCACCAAATTTCTTCAGGTTTCTGCTCATATAACATATCCTATCCATAAGGAAGGATCGAAACTTCCTTTACTTGTCGTTACCTCATGTGATGGAACTAACATACTGAATGTTTTACTTTTTCTAAAATAGAAAGCAACTGTGATTTTAGAATAAGAAATAACTCTTAGGTACTATGGTCAGGTTATGAGATTTTTTTTATTAAAAAATCTATTATTTTTAGAAGAAAGAACTCTGTTTTGATGCTGCTTTGTTATGACACAACTTATTGAAGAAATCCTATCAGTTTCAAAACTTGTCAGTGAATTATCAGCATGTAAAACTTTCATTACTTTATCAATCTGTATTGAATTGTAGATAGCTAAATAACAGTAAGTAACAATTACGCAACTCTCATTTTATTCTGTTTTCACAGACTTATTGCATAATCAATATACTTATTAGAGCCAATGGGAATAGTGAGGAAGATGAAGGGAAATTCTCTTAATTTTCTAGTAATTATGTTGATATCTTCCCCACTGAGCCTGAAGACTTCCTTGATATTATTATACTTCTTTTCCGTGATTTTACATCCCTTGATAAGTGCAAGTGACATGTAAGTGAATGAAAAGGTGAGTGAAAATGCTCTTTGTTTTTCATTTTAGGTGTTTGCCTAATTACTGTGAACATGGTGGTGAATGCTCACAGTCCTGGAACAGCTTCTACTGCAACTGTGCCAATACTGGTTACATGGGAGCTACTTGCCACTATCGTGAGTCTAAGAAGTAGTCTGACTATACTTTTATTTCTGATTGAATTTTTTTCACCACAAAGATATACATTTATATTGATCATTCATATTAGAAGATCTTTCAGTTATGTAAATATTCGTAAGTTGGCTTAAGGAAAGACCTTGAGAATTCAAAATATGTAGCAGCAAATACTCATTGAAAGTCCTAATATTTATCAGTTTCTGTTTCACATTTTTAGTAATGCACATGAGATGGGCAGTAAAGTCCTCTTTCATCCATATAATTCCACTTTCTGAATCAGCATATCATTTAGAAATGCATTTAATTCATCATTATTCATCAAAACAATATGAATTTTTTCTGAGACAATGGGACTACATTCTTATGCAAAGGTAATCACATGCTAAGCCCTGAAATTTATGTAGTTTGCTGAATCAGGGAGTAGATTAGGATAAATTAAAAAAAAAAAAGAAAGTAACTTAATTAATTTCTCAGAAGATGCTTTACATTTGTACAGCTTTAAGTGTGTCCTGGGAAGCAGAAAAAGTCATTACTCTGGCCTTCATTATATGCTTCAAATCAAGAATCTAGGAAAAATTTTGGACATGTTATCACACTTCTGTGCAATTTCAAAGAAGAAAATGCCCCTTGAATTCTCAAAGAAACATTCTTCTTGTTATAAACCTAGAAAGAAATTATTGACCTCAAAATATTAGTATAGAAACTACATTGCTCATAAATCAATTAATGAAAATTGAATCTCTTTTGTTATGTTTAAATTTAACTAAGACTATTTACTCTAAGGAACCATAAAACTACATTTGGAAATTACATAAATTGTGCATTCTAAATATTTCATGGAGTAAGCAATCTGAATGTATTGTTTCTCTTTTTGATAAGTGTTGCCATATAATGTCAGTAACCATCAGGAAAAAAAAACAGAGATCACAGTCTTTCAAAAAAGTAGCTTTTTTAAAAAAAACAGCACTTCTTTTGGATTACTACTTTATAGCTTTTTAAAAAAATTCAAATAAAATGAATTTATACAAATCAAAATCTTCTAGACTCCTAATAATTATTGCAGATTTATGTTTTCATTTGTGTAGCACTCATAACGAGGGAGGGGTTCTGAGTATGACAGCTCTTTCTCTTTGTCATAGTGTTTTCAAGTTTTGGTAGTATTTGATAAAGCATACTATATAACTTTCAAAAGAAAGACCAGAACAGTACGAGTTCTTGATAGCAGGATAAAGTTTAAAGGAGAAGTTAGGTTAATGTGGTCTAGCTGTGGCATTATCACCAGTGGTTCCTGTCTGTTTAAGTACACAGGTGGATTCATGGGTCCTTTTACTCAGGTTTTTGATCATAAGGAAGTCATTACAGAGTTTTTTTCAGACCTTGACTGATATAAAGTATAAATGACATGGGACCGAGGAGCTGTGATTCTGTTGTTGTTTATTGAGTATTTTTACTGCAGTCTCTGACAAGTCATTTGCCCTTCTATTTAAAAGGGGAAGAAAATAAGAAGTGTGAAAGTCAAAAAGTCCCAGGAGACAATCAGAACACCTAGAAACACTGCCTACCTTCTATTGTATGTAATAACAGCAACAATAAAAATCTGATTTGGTTGAGGTAGTTAGTATTTGTTTCCTCAAAATCTGATTACCAGGGTCTAAGTAATGTCCTCGAAGCATTCACATTACTTGGCAGTTTTTATAACTATTTACTCACCCACATTTCATGGTTTCCTCCTGAATTTTCCAGCTTTAAATACAGAAGAAAATGCCGCTCGTGATCTCCCTGATAAAGAAAATCAAATGTGCTTTACAAATTCAAGTTAAAGTATATTTTTGTTTATATGATTTCTTCTATATTCTTTAGCAGTGAACACACACAACTTTTCCCCACCAACAGATTCCACACATTTTTTTTTTAATTCCCTGAATAAAATGTAGAATTATGCCATTACATTTGTGATGGAATGTGTTCTTTTACAGCTATCTATGAGCAATCATGTGAAGCCTATAAGCACAGAGGGAACACTTCAGGCTTTTATAATATTGATTCAGATGGAAGTGGCCCGTTGAGACCGTTTCTTGTATACTGTAATATGACAGGTGAGGTGACAAACTTCCTTAACTCACAGCTGGTTCTGTGTGCATGCTCATTATAATGAAACATAAGTTATCAAGTAAAAAGCCTCTATAGCTCGTAAGTTTAATGTATACATGCAAAACCAAATGAAGGTGACTCCTTAGCTCAGAATGCTGGGCAAAGAATTAGGCAGAGAAATTAGAATAATAACAGGATTCAGGCTTGAAGCAACACTGTGTTCCTGTTGTGCTTTGCATAAATGAGACGTGTTCCGTATGGAGACAATGTCATACTAGCTCATTTTTGGGGGGCAGCTTTGTTTTCATTGAAGCTAAAGGCTCCTGAGGACATTTAAGGACATAAGATATAAGTTATATTTTATGAGAAAATTACTGATTTTTCCTAGTAGCCTTCTGAAAAATTGTAATTCAGAACTGCCATTTTTATGAGGAAAACAGACATTAAGCTTCATTTTTCAAACTGCCAGTAGAACTTTGGGGGAATGCAAATGCAACCAGAGGGACTCTCACAGCTTCACTTTCAGGCACCCTGCCTCCTCTTCTGCACCCAGTTCTTTGAACCTGGAAACATTCATCGTCAGGTTGGATGGGGCTCTGAGCAATCTGATGTAGTGGTAGATGATCTGCTTGCTGCAGGGGGGTTGGACTAGGTGATCTTTAAAGGTCCCTTCTGACCTAGACTAATCTATGATTCTATAATTCTATGATAAGTTTTAGATATCAGAGCTTGTTGTCAGTCTAATTTTTAAAAAACCAGTTGATGCAATCCCAAACAAAAGTGCAAGCTGGGTGGAGAGTGGCTTGAGAGCAGCCCTGAGGAGAAGGACTTGGGGGTACTGGTGGATGAGAAGCTCAACATGACCTGGCAGTGTACGCTTGCAGCCCAGAGAACCAACCATATCCTGGGCTGCATCAAAAGAATCGTGGCCAGCAGGTCGAGGGAGAGGATTCTACCCCTTTACTCCGCTCTCATGAGACCCCACCTGGAGTCCCGCGTCCAGCTCTGTAGCCCCCAACATAGGAAGGACATGGATGTGTTGGAGCGAGTCCAGAGGAGGGCCATGAAGATGATCATAGGGCTGGAGGATCTGTCCTATGAGGCACGGCTGAGAGAGTTGGGGCTGTTCCGCCTGGAGAAGAGAAGGCTCTGGGGTGACCTTGTAACAGCCTTCCAGTACCTGAAGGGGCCTACAGGAAGGATGGAGAGGGACTTTTCACAAGGGTGGGTAGTGATAGGAGAAGGGGGAATGGCTTTAAACTAAAAGAGGGCAGATTTAGATTAGGTATTAGGAAGAAATTCTTCACCACGAGGGTGGTGAAACACTGGAAGAGGTTGTCCAGAGAAGCTGTGGCTGCCCTCTCCCTGGCAGTGTTCAAGGTCAAATTGGATGGAGCTCTGAGCAACTTGGTCTAGTGGCAGATGTCTCTGCTCGTGGCAGGGGAGTTGGAACCAGATGATCTTTAAGGTCCCTTCCAACCTTTACCATTCTATGATTCTATAATTCTATGATTCTATGTTGTTTATGTGTACCTATTTGCGTATGTGCTTTCAATGAAGCTTAGATTTAAATAGCTTTCTGAAATATATTGGGGTTTTATTAGTGACTGTTTCCTTTTCTTTTAGTTAGCCTCTGTTTATTTGATTTGCTTTCCAGCCAAAATGATGGAAATACATTATTGTTTTGTGTGACAAAAAATATTTCTACACAGTTATAACTCTTTAAAAGGCTACATGAATAAGTTATAGTTGAATTTGAATTAGATGTTTCCCAAGTGTTGAGAACTTTATCAGAAGCTTTTGAAGTTAATTCATAAATAGTATGTGGTCACATGTATTTCTTGAGAAACTAACAGGACTCTGTCTGCCAGTGGCATTGTTTGATTTTCATAGCGATCTAGAGAATACTTATTATGTGTGGAAAAAATAGAATTCTCATCACATCAGTCTGTGCAATTTATCTAGTCTCATCATGTCAGCTCTGACTTCGACTTCTACAGTGAAGTGCGCTAGTTCACAGTAGGCACACTCCAGATTGGCACAGGCCCTTGAAAAGGAATGTGAGACTAGAAGAGACCAGAGAATCATGGCAGAAAGATGAAAATTTTTTTAAGTGGGTATAACACTCCAAGGTTCAGTGTGGTATCTGATTTATCCTTTTGTGTCCATGAACAGCTGTTACTGTTTTCTTCAGCCATTCCTTACTCACTGCGTTAAGCAAATCTCATCGATCGGTTCTTCATCTCAAGATGCAGTCTGACAGGATGAACCTTCTATATTTGTTTTGTTCCCATTTTCCTCAAGACTGGTATTCCCTGTTCCCACCAGAGGCAGGGAAGGCAGATGCCCACATTTCTTACAGTGCTGCCTTGTCTTTGACATTCATGGGGTTCTATTTTCAGGCAGCTGGGTGCCTTTCCCTGGTTTTATTCTGGCAGCCCACATGGCCAGTTAAGATGACAAAACTTTGCAATGACCTGCTTTTTGTTTTTTTTTTTACATATGGCAGTGTAACAATGAATCTGACAGCTGACCTGTTTGTCTTAATTTTTATGTTCAGTGTAGCCTTTAGATAGATTTGTGTCTGTGTGTACGTACAAAAAGAAATCTAAGGTTGCTATATTTCCGGCCATCTGCATTTTGACACTATGAGTGTGTACTTATTAAAATTTTATACTTTGGACAAAAACTGGCAAGCAATGACAAAAAAGTTGCATAGACCCCTTTAATATAATATTTTTTGAATAGGTATCTCACCTTCAGATTTCACTTAGATTTTCTAATTAATACCTGTCCTTTAAGGGAACAGGAGTTCTTTCCTCTCTTTAAATACCTTGTCACAGAATCACAGAATCACAGAATGTTAAGGGTTGGAAGGGACCTCCGTGGGTCATCTAGTCCAACCCCCCTGCCAAAGCAGGGTCACCTAGAGCAGGCTGTACAGGACCTTGTCCAGGCAGGTCTTGAATATCTCCAGAGAAGGAGACTCCACCACCTCCCTGGGCAGCCTGTTCCATTGCTCCATCACCCTCAAAAGGAAGAAGTTCTTCCTCGTGTTCAAACGGAACTTCCTATGGTTCAGTTTGTGCCCATTGCCCCTGTCACTGGGCACCACTGAAAAGAGTTTGGCCACATTCTCCTGACACCCACCTATGAGATATTTATAAGCATTTATTAGGTCCCCTTGCAGCCTTCTCTTCTTCAGGCTGAACAAGCCCAGCTCCCTCAGCCTCTCCTCATAGGAGAGATGCTCCAGTCCCCTCATTAGCCATACGCTGGACACTCTCCAGTAGCTCTTCATCTTTCTTTAAGTAGGGAGCCCAGAACTGGACACAGTACTCCAGATGGGGCCTCACCAGGGCAGTGTAGAGCGGAAGTAGAACCTCCCTCGACCTGCTGGCCGCACTCTTCTTAATGCATCCCAGGATACCACTGGCCTCTTGGGAACAAGGGCACACTGCTGACTCATGGTCAATCTATCGTTCACCAGCACACCCAGGTCTCTCTCCGCAGAGCTGCTCTGCAGCAGGTCCACACCGACCTTGTACTAGTGCATGAGGTTGTTCCTCCCCAGGTGCAGGACCCTGCACTTGCCCGTGTTGAACCTCATCAGGTTCCTCTCTGCCCAACTTTCCAGCCTGTCCAGGTCACGCTGAATGGCAGCATAGCCTGCTGGTGTACCTACTACTCCTCCCAGTTTTGTGTTGTCAGCAAACTTGCTGATGGTACATTCTAACTCTTCATCCAGGTCGTTGATGAAGAAGTCAAACAAGGCTGGGCCCAGTACTGACCCCTGGGGGACACCACTAGTTATAGGCCTCCTACTAGACTCAACGCCGCTGATGACAACCCTCTGAGTTCTGCCATTCAGCCAGTTCTCAGTCCACCTCACCAACCACTCATCCAGCCCATATTTCCTGACCTTCCCTAGGAGAATGTTATGGGAGACTGTGTCAAAAGCCTTGCTGAAGTCTAGGTAGACAACATCCACAGCTCTCCCCTCATCTACCCGTCCAGTCATGCCATCGTAGAAAGCTATCAGATTGGTCAGGCATGGTTTTCCCTTGGTGAATACATGCTGACTACTCCTGATAACCTTCTTTTCCTCCACTTATGTAATGATGATCTCCAGGATAAGCTGCTCCATCACCTTTCCCAGAATGGAGGTAAGGCTGACCGTCCTGTAGATCCCTGGGTCCTCCTTCTTGCTTTTTTTGAAGACTGGAGTGACACTGGCTTTTCTCCAGTCCTCGGGCACCTCTTGTCTCCTCCAGGACCTCTCAAAGATGATAGAGTGGCTCAGCAATGACATTCACCAGCTCCCTCAGCAGTCATGGGTGCATTCCATCGGGGCCCATGGATTTGTGGGCATTTAGATCGCTTAAACAATCCCTTACGCAGTCCTCCTCGACCAAGGGAAAGTCATCCTCTCTGTAGGCTTCCTCTCTTGCCTCCAGGCGCTTGGATTCCTGAGGGCCTGCCTTGGCACTGAAGACTGAAGCAAAGAAGGCATTCAGTAACTCTGCCTTCTCCGGACACCCACCTCATTCAGCAGCTGCCCCACATTGTCCCTAGCCTTCCTTTTGCTGCTGATGCAGTTGAAGAAGCCCTTCTTGTTTTTGACATCCCTTGTCAGCTTCAATTCCAGGTGGGCCTTGGCCTTCCTCGTTGCATCCCTGCGTGCTCTGACCACATTCCTGTACTCTTCCGGAGTGGCCTGTCCCTCTTTCCACATTCCATGGACCTTTCTCTTCCACCTTATCTCCCCTAGAAGCTGCTTGGTCAACCATGCAGGTCTCCTGCCTCCTTTGCTCAATGTCTTTCTCAGGGGGATGCACCGTTCCTGAGAGTGAAGGAAGTTACATTTAAACAGCAACCAGCACTCTTGGACCACCCCATGTGTGGCCTGTAGGAAGCTAATGACACGAAATACAACTCTGTTAAATAGTTAGAAATATAATGATTAGAATGTGAGAAATATCATCAATACTACAAGTTAAAAAAAACACAGTCTCACATCTACTCATATTACATTGGCCATTAAGATAAAAGAGTACAGTGAACATGAATCTAGACTTAACTTGACAGACCCGGCTTTAACTAGGAGACTGCTCATCCCTGCCTTGAAGTTGATTTTAGTGATAGAAGTCTGACCGTTAGAGGCTTTGCAAGTAGAAGCTGAAACAGATTAAGCTCAGTGCTTCGCTATTCATAGTTGAGGAGGATTGGCAAAACTACAAACCAGAAGAATCACATGAGCCTTTACCAGCCACAAATATTTAGGGCAATTTATATTTAAAAGAACTTGGAGGGAGTAATCTCTGTACTAAAGTTACATTTCTTGTGTGCAAATTATAGGATAGAGTGACCAATGCATTCCTGTGCTATGGTGCCAGCCCGTTTCATCCTTTCTGTGTCTCAGTGTACAAGAAAATTATTTTTCTATTCTCAAAATAAATACATAGCACTTAGCCTATGACCTTTAGTAGCTTTTAAAGTAGCACCTTCATATAAGTATTTTAACATAAGTTTCAGTTCTTGATCTTTTTGTTTTTGCATTGTATTAAGATTTTACAGTTCAAAGTGCTTTCTGAAATTGCTGTAGGAAGTTAAAAGAAGACTTTTAATGAAATAGTATTTGTGAAGTATCAATAAAACTGGAAAGTTATTGAGCTGCTTTGTTGCTTAATATAATCAACACTGCTCCAAGGCAGAGAAAGTCTGTTTCACAACAGACTGCGCATCTTAGCACATACCTTTTATAAACCTACAATATATTGTTTATTATTAAACCATTTGAATTATATGTATATTTATATGCAAGTCTTTTATGTTCATTTATTACAAGAGCATTACCTTGGAATACATTTTTCTAGAAATAATGTTTGGAGTACTACATATTTACTGGTGATTCATGGAAATAAACCACTTGCAGACATAGAGTCAGTTGCTTCTGTAACAAATATTTTGGCAATATTTTGCATGCCCTCAGTTTATGTGAATCATACAACCTGTCTACACAATGCAATGAAGTATGTAGCTGCCTTACCCAGCTGTATCCCAGTCAAAAGTCAACTCAAGTGCAGTATGTATATTTTTAGGAAAATTCAGTTCTCAGTTCCAGCTTAGTACTTCATCATGTTACAGTGCCGAGTTAAGTGAGCATATCATGATGACTACCATAAATCAATATTATGTCAGGTGTTTGGAAACAACTTTCTATTGAACTTTGGAAGCTGTAATTCTCAGTCCTTGGCTAAACACAGGTTTCAAACAGTACTTCAGATTATGACAGCTACTTGATTATAGATGGCTAGAATAATTCACCTTCATGTAATCTGAGTTTTGTAGTAAATACAGTATTTACAAGCTACTTTTGCTTCTTTGTGTAATAAAAAAATGCTGTAGGCCATTTTTCCACACAGAATAACTTATTTCAAATTATAGTGATATATGCAATGTAGCTAGAATCCGGGATAGAATTTAGTGTTACTTTATAAACAATTTAAGCCTAGGAAAAATAACAATAGTTAGTTTATTTCTTTCTTTTTTTTCATTGCAATTTATGAAGACCAAGTAAACCGTATCTGATTTCAGAGACAATTATTTGAGTGTCATCACTTACTGTTTCCTTCTTCAATAATGATAACAAGCTGAATACCTGTTAGTCACAGTAAGATAATCTACTTATAAATATAAATAATGATTAATTGTTTTCATTTTTTCTCAGTGATTTTTGTCTCTATTTCATATGCCTAAAAGTACTTTTTGTGATGCAAGAAGTCACCTTAAAGTTTGGTTGATTTCATCATGCATTCTCTTTCCTTTACCAACTTATGCAACTACTTCTCATTGTTTATTACTTTTCACATGTGTTTTGAAAGATACAACGTGGACAATTATACAGCATAACAACACCAACCTAACCAGAGTCAAAAGTGCTAATCGAGAGAACCCCCACACTGTGTTTTTCAAGTACTCTGCCAGCCTAGACCAGCTTCAGGCTACAATTAACCATGCAGAGCACTGTGAACAGGAACTTGCTTACCACTGCAAAAAATCAAGGCTTTTAGAAAAGTCAGGTAAGTGAAGCAGACACATCTTATAATGTTGCATAGTGCTTTTCATTTTACTGGTTACTAAAGGTATTTATTTCTGTCAAGGTTGTGGCATTTTGCTACTACAGAGTTTGAACTACTTCTTGTATCTAACACTCAGATTCCTGTAAGTTGTCAAGACATATTTGAGCCAGAAAAACACGAATGTCAGTTTACAAGGATGATCTTTCACAGAATTAAGTGCTCTCAAAGTTAACTTCTCTCACAAGTCTCTTAAATTAATGGATATTTTTAACAAAGCTCCTGTTGGTCTGCCTTCCAGGATTTTTAAATTTTAATGAAGAAGTTACTGAGGAAATATGTCGTTAAAGGAACACAAAGTACTGCACAGATATCAGCAGAATTAATTTTATTATTTTATTATTTATTATTTTATGTTTGTTGTTTTTAAAACTTTATGTGCAAATTGTGAGTGCTTGACGAAAAAAAATCAGTAACATTAAATTTCCACTGTCCAATATAAGCATACATTAAAAAAAACAATAAAGTGTGGATTATTGACAAACGTGTAATTGTTTTAAAAGAAAAATGAATGCACATCCTCTGACGTGCTGAAAGAAAAATGGAGTTATGCAATGTAGTGTACTTAAAACTAACTCTCACTGACACAGAGCTACGGTTAACAGACTTTACCGTGAAAATCCATTCTAAGTAATCCAAATAGTGTGAAAGTAAAAATCTCATTGTTTACTGTCTTTTGAATAACTAAGTGAAATTATCTGTCTTGTGCATCAGAATCTCTGAAACTGCTCAAACTGATTTCTTGCATTGTTTCCTACTAAGCAGAGAATAGGCCTCTGAGTGCAACAGTCTCTACTTTTGTCTCTAAACTCATTCCTGACGTTATTTATTCCTACTTATGTCATGGACATCACTGGATTTCTTAGATGAGAACTGACCCCTGGCAGAATATCTGCTTGAAAATGTCCCTGCAGCATAAAAGATGAAGCTACTGAATAAGACGTCCCACTGAGCGTCCCTTTTCCCTATGAACCTCAAATTAAAGTTATTTTTAGATGTTCAAAACCCTGGTTTACACCAAGCAGAGACAATAAGACCCACCTTCTCAATTCACAAGTTTCAGCAGAGCAATCAAGCTGGAAACCATGAAAAAATTTAGGTGAGAGAAGAGAGAGAAAGACCCAGGAAAGCCGGACTTTCTACTTTGCACAGAAATGCAGATTTTCCTAGAAAGCTATAAGAGTGCAATTAGTCAATTGTGCTAAGCCAGCTAAAATTCAGAGTTTTCAATGCCATGAGTAAATAGACATGAAAATGTTATTTGTGAGTTCTACAGGTGTTGTAAAATCATTCTTTGTTTAAACACTACCACAGAGTGTACCAAATACAATTTTCCATTCCTCTGAAGAGTGGGCTTTAGTCTGTTCTGAAACAGAGACCTCTGATGTAAGAGAAAGCTAGGATCTACTGATAGTCACCTTCTGCGGTGAGGCTGCTTAAGAAAGGCAACGCTGAGTTTTGTGATATAAGGGTGAAATAACACCCTTTATTATTTATTAAAGATTTATTAAAGAGAGTTTATTAAAGAGAATTAGGGTTTATGTTTCCCTTTCTGCTTGAAAGTAGCCAGAACCACATTTTTACAACTGTTTAGAGGATGTATTAACTTTCCCTTATCTTTTCTAGCATTCTTAATTATATCACTTTCTTAAAATAAAATTAAGATTTTTACATTCCAGGATTTAGATCTGCCCTTTTTTGCTTCAAGAGTAATGACCATGGTGGATAACTTAATAAGGACAGAACCTGTTTGACCCATTCAGTCACAGTAACAGTAAAATTACATCAAGTTTCTGGGAGAAGCAGCAGGTACCCCTTTGTAGATGCTGGCTGCTCTGTACTTTTGAAAGGCTGAGTCTCACAGAATCACAGAATCACAGAATGGTAGGAGTTGGAAGGGACCTCTGTAGGTCATCTAGTCCAACCCCCCTGCCAAAGCCCTTGTCCAGGCGGGTCTTGAATATCTGCGGAGAAGGAGACTCCACAACCTCCCTGGGCAGCCTGTTCCAGTACTCCGTCACCTATAAGAAGAAGGAAAAAAATGTTTTTTTTCAAAATATATGGGTTGATACTTTTTTTCAGGGAACTTGGTGATCAGTGCAACTACAGTGTCCACTGAAACAGATGTCATTTTCAACATCTGAACCACATCAGCAGCAAACAGTAGGAGTGTGCACAGCCATAGAATCACGGAATCACAAATCACTGAGTGGCCAAGCTTGGGAGGGATGTCGAAGAGTCATCTGATCCAATGCTCCTGCTCAAGCAGGACCACCTGAAGTCAGTTGCCCAGGACCATATCCAGATGGCTTTTGAATGTCTCCAAGGATGGAAACCCCACAATTGCTGTGGGTAACCTGTGCCAGTGCTCAGTCACCCTTACAGTAAAAAAGTGTTTCCTGATATTCAGGAAGAACATCTCATTTATCAGTTTGAGCTCACTGCCTCTTGTCGTGTCACTGGGCACTACAGGGAAAAGATTTTCTCAGTCATCTTTAGATCCTCCCTTCAGGTATTTATGTACATTGAGAATATCCCCCTGAACCTTCTGTTTTTCAGGCTAAACAGTTCCTGCTCATAGGAGAGATGCTTCAGTCCCTGAATCATCTCTGAGACCCTTTGTTGGAGTCTCTCCAGTATTTCCATCTTCCTTTTGTAATGGGAAGCCCAGAATTGGACAAAGTTCTTCAAGAGTGGCCTCATTTGTGCTGAATGGAGGGGAAGGATCACCTCCCTCAACTTGCTGGAAACGCCTCAACCTCCTAATGCAGTCCAGGATAACAATAGCCTTCTTGGCAGCAAGGACATATTGCTGGTTCATGTTCAGCCTTGTGTCTGTCAGGACCCCCAGACCATTTTCTACCAAAGTGCTTTCAAGTTGGGTGACCTCCATCATAAGTTGCTGCCTGTGGCTGTTCCTCACTAGGTGAAGGTCTTTGCAATTCTCCTCGTTGCACTGCATGAGTTTCCTGTAAAGCCCGTTACCTTCAGCCTCTCGAAGTCCCTCTGGATAGTAGCATGACCCTCTGGAGTACCAGCCACTCCTTCCAAAATCTTGATACTTATAGACATCCAACATGTTTTGTAAGAGGCGGAATATTAAGCTTGTATTTACACAGTGATCACTGTAATGGCTGTAGCTAAAGAAGACCTGATTGAATCACCTTTAATTTGGGTTGACCAGATATCTAGCTCGACACAGCACTGTGATGCAGATCGATTCACAGAATTAGCCATATCACTGCTGCTTTCTCAAAGACATCTGTACAGTCTCAGAAGCAGTCAAGCCATCTACTGTTAAGCAAAACTGGCAATGTCTAGATAAGCTGTAGTTAAAACTGAGATGCATCTAAACTGACAACAGTCAGTGTATTGTGAATATATGCTAAAATATTTTTAGTCTGGTAGACATTTTTAGTCTTTGAACACAACAAAATGTAAGCCCTGGGCTTTTGTCTCTGAGGTTGTGAGAGTAAGTTTTTCAAATATCCTCCAATGTATCATCTTTTTCTTTCTACAAATATAAGTGCAGAACTTGCTGATGTCATGGAAAGGGAGAAGTCTAGTATCTAGTATATGTTAAGGTCATGCCACCCCATGAAATACTTCTTTCTTTTACCTCCTGGATAGAGCTGGGGGGAAAAAGAGAAATTAGGGATCCTCTCTTTTTTTCATGTCTTTTTACTTCAAGATACATCTTTCCATTGAACTTTATGGAGAGAAGACAGAACATGTTATATACTTATATATAGTAATTTCAGATTTAAAACTGTTACCAAAAAATCTACTTCTCTGTTTTTGTGAGCTTTGGAAATACATTTCTCACCTATTTTTATGTGAAACATATAATTTCCAGCTTGCTGCAGCAGGTGTGCATTTTAACTTTCAGTGTCTCAGTGTGATGTGGTACCATAAATGTTAGAAATTTTGTTACAAATTTCTGTAAGAACGTTCCAATAATTTATGCGAATTATAATTAATTTTTTTTAGGATGCTCACCTTATTCAGAAGAGCTCAGAAACCTAAATAAGAATTGTGTTTGTAGTGCAAATAATTCAAAAATTTGAGGGAAATTTAGGAAGGTAGGGTGATTTAATTTGAAATTTTTGACTTGCTGATTTAGTTGTTATTTCATCTGCTCGGCATCTGAAGACAGTCTTCACCAAGTTTTCCTGTTTATGACCACCTTTATGTATTTACTTTCTGATTTTTTTGCATGTTTCTTCGAATGATTTTATAGTCAGAATTACAAGACAAACAAATAGCAATCAATCACATAGCTGATAACTGACACATACGTGACACTGAAATAATATTTTAATAACTTTTTACTGAAATAAATTTGTTCTGTTTCATTTATTACAAACACAATGAAATACATTGAAATACCAGAATTTGAAGCGCAAATAAGTACATTATCAAATTGCCTGCACAATTTAATCCCTCACAGTTCTGTTATCTACAATCTAGTATGCCTGACAAGTAAAAAATTTGATGATGGTCACAAGCAATGTTTTTTAGAATATGCAGTCCATGTAGTAATTCCTACCTGACTGTATTTTAAGAATGCATTACATTCAGTTAGCCTGGATAGCATTTGCAAATGATGTCATTAAAGAAGTCACCTATTAATACATTTATGTGATTGTTATGAAGAAATCTCTAGCCATTTTAATTCATAGCTTTATTTTGCTTAGGCAATATTTTCTGCCAAAGCAGGGGTAAAAGTCTGGGCTAATCAGTACGGATTTGCAGCATTTCAGTAAATAGTCTCTCCTTATCCTGCTGTATGAACAAATAACTGAGACTGGCTTTAAAACATACCCCAACATCCCTAGTGAAAGAGTGGGAATATTAATTCATGACTACAGTATAAACTAAAGCATGCTGTTGAAACAGCAGAAATATTCTGCTTTTTACAGTCTTAGTTGTTGGAATCTTTTTAAAGTGCTCTTTGGTAAATTATTTATATACTCTCTCTAGGTTTTCCTCCTCCTCCTGTGATGGCTTGCAAACACAAACACTGTTATTGGACATTGATGCCATTATGCAAGTTTGACTTTTCCAGAAACTGCTCACACTGTGTTTTGGCCTGCTGGGCCGACAGTTGTGTGGTAATGAATGCAGTCAATATGTTTACGATCTGAGAGATTGTCAGCGTAACAGAGGTCTTATCTAACAGTGAGGTTTAATAAGCAGTGGCAGTTGTAAGTAGAGTTGAGACTAGGATAAATTCCAGCTTCTTCGTGGGGGCCTGCTGCTGAAAACTTCGATCTCCAACAACAGCAAAAAGAAATGTATCTGAAAGAAACTCCAATTTAACAGTACTCGATTTCTTCTTGTGCCTTGACTTCCATGCATTGCATCTATCACCCTTTTTCTTCTCATCTGAGATGATATATCTTTATGCTTCATATCTTTTAGTTATTATCTGTACTGTATATATTTTCTGTTGCTGCGCTTGCTTGGCAGCATCTTTAAGCTTAACCTGCACTACTGTAACATTAAGGAAATATCCAGTTTTATTATTTTGCTACAAACAATGCTGACTGAATGCACCACACAGAGATGTAATAGACCTGGGAAACTTTACTTCTGTTCACCAGCTACATCAACTCGCTTATGGGAGCACCATGAACACGATTTCTGCTGTCTCCGAGTATATAAATTCTGAATCTGCTCCCTATGACCTAGCAGCTGTCTTTGGGCATTTCTGATTATCACCACTATTCAGCTGCTTAGTGTTTGTCACAGATATGTGTAGTAGTATACTTTTGGTAGCAAGATGAGACAATTTCTGCATAGCTTTTCTGTAACTCTTCTCATTCTGTTGCTGGTGGTTCCATGATCCATGATCATGGTTCCGTGATCTGAAATTGATCCTTACTTGGGAATATAAACTATCTCGATTTTTAGGGTGATGGTATATCCCTTTTCAGGGACCATTTAAAATGAATTGTATAAATGGGCTGCATAAGATAAATGACTCTAATATCAAGGCTGGCTGAGCTAGGGACTGCAAGTTCCCTTTTCCACTAATGCAAGAAAAAACCTGTGACAATCATTTAATACCTGATAATGAAGTATTAAAATGAATTATTACATATCAAGTAAAGGTGGTATTTTATTCCAATTGTTGTTTAAAGTTTTTAGATTTGAGGGGTGATTTTTCTCTGCTTAACCAAGTTTTGGAAACTTGTACAGATGAGAAAAACTGGGAGAAGTAGGAGACAAAACTGGGCACTGATTTTCTCTAACCTATTTTTTAGATGGGATGCCGCTGAGCTGGTGGATCGGGAGAACCAATGAAACACAGACTTACTGGGGAGGTTCCTTGCCTGCTGTACAAAAATGTGCTTGTGGTTTAAAGGGGAGCTGCATTGACTCCCAGCATTACTGCAACTGTGATGCTGACAGAGATGAATGGTGACTTTTTACTGTTGCTTATTCACAATAAATTTTCCTGGAAAGCAAATAAAGAAAATATACAAGCCTTAGCACATTTAGAACACCAAGGCTGTTGCAATATGGAACATATTTTTTCACAAAATTACATGTGTATACATTAAGAATTACTGCTGATTCTTGCATTCTGAATTCTGGGGAAGGTTTAATTTTATACAGATACTTTCTATTTTTGTAGTATATTGTATGTTATATATTAAGAAATTAGCTCTGGTCTTTATTTCAACTTCAGTTACTTGTTTTAGAATACTGAAAGTAATTAAAGTTCAAATAAAAGGTTCGGGGAAAAAAAGTCATTTAATTTTTAGTGTAATTTTTAATTACTTCTGTCATCTACAACTTAGATAATTAAATCCGGACACCCTTGCTATCAGCAAAGCAAAGCACTCATGGATTCCTATTCTATAACGATGTAAAGAATTCTAAAATATAGTCTTCCACTTGAAATTTCTGTTGTTACTTAAGGTCTGCTTCAAATAAGTAATGTAAGAGGTGAGTTCCTGTTACAATGTCAAATCTGAACCTGACTTTTCACTCAAGCGGATCAGATACAACTTTCACAACAATAGCTTCAGTGCAGTAAAGGACTTTATAAAGTAGACAGAGACTTTTCAAATGAAAACTTTTCTGTTGAAGTAACTTTTAAGCTTTTAAGTTTCTAAAGCATATGTAACATATATATCCAACTCAGTGATAGTTTAATACATGCCTGTTAATAACTGTAAAATCTGTTTTTTGAAAAAAGAAAAAAGTAAGGAAGGTACATAGCAACATGTTTATTTGTACAAAATAAAGCAATACTTTATTTTCTCCTCAAGCTGGATATCCATCCTTCCTTTAAAGTAACAGCTAGTGAATTTTGTGGTAAAATGCTTATTGTCTTATCGTGAACAGGGAACTCAGCAGATACAGAAATGAAAATACAACAAAATGTTGGTCAAAGAACAACTCCTTACAAGCTTCAAAAGTTTCTGTAGGAAAAGAATTCACATCCGCAGTAAAATTGACAGAGTGATATCTGCTGCGCTCATTCCAATAGAGAGATTAAACAAATGCACAGAACACTAGGAATTTCTGAAGTATTTTGCTGTATAAAAATATAGACAATTTTTGATTCCCAACAGCAAAACAAGTGTTAAAAGATTAACTCATTCTGAGACAGGATTTTGGCTAGTTGCTAGTGTATGTAATACATTCTTGCTTAGTTTTTTTGTTCATTTAATCCGTACTCATGTACATTGGTTACTTTATAATGGTTACACACTTGTAAATAGATAGAGGATGATATGCATGTCTTCACTATAACCACCTTGGGTAAATTGCATGTTGATGAGTGTATTACACTGAAATTATAATGACTCCCGTTTTATATTTCTGTATGTATCCACTTTTGACATTTTCATTTTCATTTTAAATGGAGACTTATCCCAGTAACTCCAATGTTATGAAGGCTATGTTTACACTTTTTTCCATAGTTGCGCTTAAAGTTACATTTGTCTCCCTAGAGAATACTGCCATAGGGCAGAAAAAGTAGGCAAGAGTTGTGCTTGTTTGACATGTTTTCTGAACATAGAAACCAGAGTTAGACACAGTGTGGTTTTGAAATATGGTTTTGATATTCTATTTTTGTAGTAAAATCTATATTGTTTCATAGACTGGACATAGATTCAGCTCTAAAACTCCTTGTTTGACTAATTAAAATATTTAAGTCTCTAAAAGTCTAAAATAAAAAGGATATTTTTTTAAAAAAAATCTGTTCCTAAAGATCTACAAAAATGCAAATCCTCTCTGCAGAAGAGGTAAGATATTTTCTATTCAGTTTCCCTTTATTTGCCGAATAGTTTTACTGAAGCAAATACTTTTGGTGTTTTGAGTTTTTTTTATCAGTTCTAAATTAGAAATCTGCAATATCACACCTCATCAAAAGCTGACACTTTTTAAAAAATGTTTTGCATTCCACACGTAAGAAAAAAGTTTCCTGAAAATAAAACGTACATTTGTGTGCACTGTGCTCCAGACAGAAATTTTGTATAAGGGAAAGACGATGATGTTAGTAAAGTGAGAGGGTGAGGAGAAAATAATCACTAATTTCATTCTTCACAAGGATGAAATCTCTTCCCTTTGTCTCAGTCCCGGTAGGTTGCTAAGTCCAACCACACTCCCAGAGAATCGTGGCTTGCTTACTAAGGCGTGTGTCTTGCTTTTAATCTCTGGGCAGTGTGAGTTCCAGACTGCCTCCCTCGTCTGTTTGTACTGTTGTCTCTAAACAATTTGCTTTGCCCATTAAATGGAAGTTTCAGTTGTAAATGGATTGAATGGACAGACTGATTTTTCCAGAACATTCCTGAGTGATGGAGTATTTCCATGGGTTCAGGGGAAGCAATTTTAGGGCCAGAATAGGTGCTTATTTAGAAATTCATGTCATACACTAAGTTAAAAAAGGATTTTAAACAAGGAATTTGGTCTAAGATTACAAGTACTGGGTGTGTGCTCTGAGTGCTAGGTTGCGTATTTCCTTTTCTGAGAGTTACATATTTGTAACTTATGCTGCTTTTCCTGTATACTCAGCACAATTTTGTATTTTCCTATTTGATTTTTTTCAAGTTCTGTCAAGATGAAAATGGAAAAAAAAATGTTAGACTTCTTTGAAAGCTATACTGAGCCATTTAATATTTCATAAAGAAGAGATAGGCCATTATGGATACAGTGCATCTTCAGAAACATAAAATTTCTGCCACAGGCAAATACATTAGCTTAGACTACCAGTTGGGTACTTTTTGTCGAGAAGAGTTTTCTCATGCTTATTCAGACAAGCACAACCATAAAACTGCCCATTTGCCATGGAATTTTTTCAGTCCTCTCAAATGATCACAATACCAAAGAACATGGTTGTATTCACAGTGGCTTGTATTACCTGTAGAGTTATGCAGCACTTTTTTTAAAAATTAAATTCTTTCTTTTTCCTCAGCAATACATCAACGATAATGAAATGTTTATTAGAAACATTTAGGAGAGCTGTGGCTTTCATTTTACCTTTTCAGGGCTAATGATACTGGATTCCTTTCCTACAAGGAGCATCTACCAGTAACTGAAATTGTGATCACAGATACTGACAGACCAAATTCTGAAGCAGCTTACAAACTGGGGCCTTTGCTTTGCCGTGGTGACAGTAAGTAAGAACTGCAGAATTTTGCTAAGCAACAATGGGATTTGACTGCAATAAATTTTAAATGTTTTTTTCTAAACAGCCTAAGATACACTTTTGTAAAAATTTCATCCAGTTCTTTTAGTAATTAGAAAGGAAAAAGACAAAATGCCATGGTCCAGTACAAACAAGGGTAGAATTGTACAGATATATTTCTGATGATACAAATCAATAGTGAAGATAGAAGCAATTAGTGTACTTTTCAAATGTATATATTGAGTATAAAATCCAGAGTTTTTATCCAATTTGAATAAAGTTACGAGTAAAGCATTACAAGAAGTAGAATTCGTAACTGGTTATCATATCTTGCGAGAAACATACCCTTCACTAGACATGCATGCCTCCGTCACCAAACCTTATGCATATTAATTTCTCTGTGTATTCGTGAAACTAGGAAAATTATGCTACGGAGATTAATCGAGTATATGCAGTATCTACAAGCAAAATTTCAACTCCACATAAGAATTCAAAGTTTAGAAATTTATACAATAATTCAAAATGTAAAGCTTGTACACCCTGAATATGCATATAGTAACCAGAAAAATATCGTTTGAAGAAAACATTTAAAGGTAATAAGACCTCTGGAGTAAAATTGATACTTCATTGAAGATTTCCGATTTCATTAGTTTCCATCTTCATTGTCAAAGAACACAGATTTGGTTTATGTTCAGTAGTAAACTATTGCACCAAATTCTATGACTGCTGCTGTTTGTAATCGACAGTCAGGAGAAGCAGTGCTATAGATCATCCTAAAGATTTTAACTGAAGAGTTGAACGGACAAGATTTTTTCTACCGTTGAGTAAGGGATTGAAGTATTTAATAAGCTTAATTTCTGTACGTCATATGCTACCCTATGACTATTCATGAACATCAGTATTGTTTCACATAATTACAAATTATTATTTTTATTCATTATGTGATATTCCTGCATCACATGATGTTGTACTTGTTTTTCAAATTTCTTCAGCCTTTATGATTAAGAGGAAATTAATAAGAAGTACTGATCTGTACTTTTAGCCTCACTTGGGAGACTGTATAGATAAATCAATATAAATTAGCATGTGTTTAATTTTATGTCATCACTGCTTTCATTCCTATGACTTGTCAGGGTAATTATGCCTGGAAGATTTGTTAAAAGATGTGTGTTACAGCAGTGCATTTTAATTTTCTTATGAAGATTTATAAGACAAAAAAAACCTGTTGGGTGCTTCCTTTTCATTTTTCTGACATCTGATTGTGAGTTGATCATTTATCCTACCTATCAAAGAACAGTTAAATCATGGAGATATGATGTAGGATTAAGGCGTAATTTGGAGTAGAAAGCACCTGAAGAGGTCTCCTGCTTACAGCAGGATCACCCATAAGCTCAGACCAGGTCTCGCAGGGCTTTGTTAAATTTGGGTTTGAAGGCCCCAAGGATGGAGCATGCGTTGCTTCTCTGGGCAGCCTGCTCCACTGCTTGGCCATACTCATTGTGAATGTATTTTTACTTAGATCAACCCTGAAACTCTGTTGTTTCAACTTATGCTCATCGTCTTTGATACTCACACCTTATACCAATGCAAAGTGCTGTCAGGTCCCCCAAAAAGCTGTCACTCTTCCACATTAAACCAGCCCTGGTCCCTCAGCCTGAAGGGCAGGAAAAGTACTCCAGACCTGGACATCCAAGTGTCCTCCCCCATACTCGCTCCTGTTTATCAATGTTTTTCTTTTACTGGAGAGTTTAAAATTGGAGGCAGTATGTAGATATTGTCTTACAAGTGTGGAGCAGAGGGGAAAACCAGCTCTGTCTCCATTGTGGCCAGAGACAATGAAACAAGGGACAATGACAGCAGCGAAACAGAATTATTTACAGCTAGTGTAGTAGTAATGAGTGGTAAGAATTTAAATTTCACTACTCACCACGTTCCCAAATACTATTAATTACATAACCTGACCTCAGTTATCACATATCTTAAAACATAGAAGCCAGCTAGCTTCTCGGGTGAATCATTAAAATATACAGACAGTTCTGACACCCATTGACCTCCCTGACGTTATTTGATGTTTGCTTAGTCTGACTGATTGAATTTCTGCAAACTTTCACACTGACGTTAGATGATCATAGTATTTCTAGACAAGCTGCCATATAGAACTCTAAAATATCACGAGGAAAGTGCAAGAAGTCAGATCCTGAATGTCAGAGACACATTTTTGTAATATCAGACAACACCATGGAATTTGACTTCAGAAAGAAATAATTTGGGCCTGAAATAATCTCAGTGAAAAGACCTTTCATAATAGAACAATTAATTGTAGTAATACAGCAAAAATCATGAAAAAGCCATTCATTTTGATAGTTTAATAAGACCAGTAATAATGCAATTCTCAGCCATTTACATCATAAAGACAAAGACAGTAAGAGATGGCATGCTTTTAGGGAGGTAGAGACTACGATTTGGGAAAACAATACAGAATTTCTGAAGGAAAAAATACTGTAAAATCATAGAATTTTGATATAAAATCAAAATGCAAAGTGTTGAGTAAAATATTAATTGTATGGTAATACATAATAAAATAAATATGAAGTATATAATATGCTATATATTCTGTACTATATATTTTATATCATGTATCATATATTATATATTATATATTACCTATATTATACCATTTAATACTCTATTATTCTATATGTTTTCTCATACAATAATATGTAATATAGGATATATCATATATAACAGATGAAATATAAAATATATATTTTATATTGTATTATATTTATATATTTTCTCATATACAACATAATGACATTATGTATATTACAATAAATATTCTATTCTCTTCCAGTGTTTTGATCATTATACTAGAAATGACTGTGTGATTTACTAGAATTTTTTCCAGTGGTCTTTATGTATCAACAGTATTTTTTAGTAATGAATATCTTCTTTAACTTGGGTTTTCCAGAAAATGTAAAAAGCTATGAGTTATGGTAGTTTCTGTGTTCTACACATTAAATTTCGCACTGGACAAAACTGATGAAATAAATCTAAACTCTCTTGTAAGATCAGCAATAACATACTAGTAGCACTTCGAAGCTGCAGGAAAGAAGCAGACCATTATTAAGATTTTTTCTAATCTGAAGTGGCAGACACTCATGAGGATCTAATTAAATGCACTTTTAATAAAATTTATTTTCTTCTGCATCTTTAGATAGGTGAAGAACACAAAAGAGATCTAACAGCAAATATTCCTTTCTCAGAAGTGCTGTCAAACAAGGAAAAATAGATAGTCTTGGATTCATGAGTGTCATTTGAATACTCTCCGGAGACATTATTACTTATTTCTACTCCTGTCATTCTCTAAAGCTAAATTATACAATTCTGCTTCATAGGGGATATCCTTTTATTAAACATTTTTTTTGTTCTTTCTGACAGACATAAATTCTTCAGAATCATTCACTGAAGTGCCAGATAAAAGCATGGGGCAGAAGGTTTACTTGTATTTGTGATACACTAGTACTTTGTTAAATGATTCAAGCCAAAAAGAACATAAATTCTCATTACATCAATAATCTATTCCTTGTAGGACATCTAGAGATAAAAATAATCGTTTATGCCCACAGCAAAATAAAGCAGACCTATAAATAGTTTGCTGAATTGAATTGTCATAAACAATGCACTCCCTTTACTAAATTTGCAAGTTAGTTATTTCATTAGATTCTCCCAAGAAGTCATGTATCATAACTCAAAAGCAGTTCAGCAGAAGTTGCCTATTCTTCATTGCACATTTTTTATTTTCACTCTTTTATGCAACATTGCATTAACTTGCTTTCTTTATGTCAGATTTTATGGATTGACTCTCTTCAATGAAGTGTGTTACTTACAGAAAACCAAACCAGATTTGCTGGAACCAAGCAGGGAAGAGTAGCCTAACATGAGTAAAATAATAACAAAAGCAATACCTGTATAGTTCTTTTTATGTATAAAGTTCTGTTCAGCTACTAATGATTTTTCTCAGTATTTGTGAGTTAGCTTTCTATATTTCTATGATGTCAAAGCAAAAAGAAATCAGTAGTGATATTCTAGTGGAATACGGCCATTTAGAAAAATTTGGCCATAAGATTTGATGACATTCAGCTCTATACATATGAGTAGCACTCACCCATTTCTGTCACCTTTAAAATATATTACTGATACGTTTCTATATTCCTTTTTCTTCTCTACAATACATCTATTAAATTGTATGCCAGCACTGCTGATATCAGAGTGAAAAATATCTCTGAATATAATGAAAATTAAGATTCAAATTAACCTATATCCACTGAGTAGGGTAACAGGAAAGATTTTGAAGGATATGAGAATGTAAGAAACCTTTGGGTCATTAATAGATAGAAATACTATTCTTTTCATAAAAAAGAAAGAGACATCTCCATTGTTTTTTGTCATTATTCAAGAAAAAGCCAGATGTTGATTAAATTCTAATAAAGGGAGTCAGTGAGTATGAGTGGACTTTTAAAAATACACAGCATTCACAGGTTTTTTTGTTATTTTTCTTGCAAGAACTGACTGGAAATACTCCAATTTATTACTATGAATTTCCAATAAGGATTAGAACATGTAGATGCGTCCAGACCACTGAAAGAAAGCTAATAGGCCAAAATTATCTGTAATAAATTGGTAATTATAATCCGTAGGCATCAGACTAATTCTCGGCCCCAAAATGAAATTGGTAATATAGATGTTAATTGAATAAAACTGAATAGAAAGATACTGCAATCCAATGTAAAGATAATATATCATTCAGCATGAGTTTGTATAACATAAGTCTGGCCAATCTTTTGAGGGACTTCAGTACTAGTAAAGGCAATACTAGTGAGGTGAGATACTTGGAGTCTAGTAAGATATTTGATGTAGTGTCACATGCTTGATTGAATGAAAAAAGCCCAGAAATGTTGAAATTCAACTGCAAAATGATAGTTCAAGTGGGTAAAGGCAAGCAGATAATCCATTCAACATGAGTTCCCAGTCTGACATTTAAACCAAGAAAACCTAATGTTAGCTTTTGATGTAATAATTTTAGAGAGCAACTGTATTAACTGATCTTAAGTGATACTTTCATTAAAGCAGCACAGCAAATTTTGATGTTTAGCCAAATAAATCTGTTTCACCTCTCTGTAGTACCCTGAAATATCAGAGCATGTCTTTTTTAGCTTTTCTTCATTAATTTATTTTTGTCCCAGCCTCAGTCTAATCAACATTATTTTGATCCTCTTTACTGCTTCCTGCATAATCAAGGAGTTTAATACAAGTCTGTGTTTACAGTTTTACACTATATAAAAAAGATGTAAGATTAAAGGATTGCATTAAAGAAGTTAGGAGATGCATTTTTTCATGAAAGCCTCTTAGCTTATTCACTTTGCTTATCTCAGGCAAAATCTGAGGTGATGTACTAGACTGGAGTTAAATGGAGTTTCGTAGAGTACAAACTTTCAAACAGTGTTCTTGAAAGTAGGAGAGAAAATCAGAAAAAGATCTAGGGGCTGGGATTTGAAGCTAGGCTGATGGGCTTAGTGTGTGTGCATAGATAAATATATATATATACATAAAATGACAGTAAGAGCATTTGTGAATTTTCCTTAAATGAGCAATTTTTAATTGAAATAGTTGAATAGTTTTCCTAGAATAAATGCTCTTTTTCAAACTGTGTTGATTCAGGGAATTTATACAGTTTGTGGTAGATCAGAGGTTAAACTAGAAGATCACAGTTTTCCCTTCTGGTCTTTTAATATATGAATCTTTTAATAAGTTGCAAGGTAGTGGAACTGGAAGTAGTGATACAGATGGGGCAGCTGAATTCCACAAATTCTCAGAAGCAAACTGTTGCCAGCTGGTCAGGCTTCATAACGTTAAGAAGATAGCTTTAGAAGAAGCAATTTGCACACTTCTCAGTAGCTGAAGAAATGGTTAGTATTTTATGTGTCATGTCAATTAGAAATTTGTTTTCTTTGGGTGTGAAGGAGCACTAGTCAAAAAAATATTGTTTGGCAACAGAAGATCTTTATTTTCTCTTCCTCAACACTCACTATCCCTGCTGGAGTTTTACACTGAGTGAATGAATGGTGCAGCACTTACAGAGATCAAGAAAAATTGATACAAGTAACAAACAGTTTCCGTTTTCATTAAATACTTCAAGAGTGCTACAAGTTGCAATTGCACGTTTGTTTTGAGAGTAACTTTTATTGTCTTTGCAACATCAAAATGGATAATTTATCTATCTTGTTCTCATTTCTCCCTTTTTCACTTTACAATTTCAAGTTGGCAAGACTAGTTGGTATATGACAAAAACTGGAGTAATTTTTGCAACATAAATATGCTGCTGTATTATTTTTAACATGCAAGATCTTTTTTTTTACTCATAGGAAGACTGCAGTCTTACGACTCAGATAAAATATTATTGATTTTCTAACTACATGGTATTTGGCAGTTCGAGAAAAAAAAATAAGAGACTATGAGACAGATACTGTAAAGTGAAGAAATTCTTCTCCCATCCTGGTTTAAAACAGCATAAGATACTTTGTAATATACTTTTGCTAGATCTATATTTATTCTGCTTTATTGATACAGTAGCTTAACGTTCATAAATCACACAGTTCTGAGAGCTGAGAGAAAGAATAGCTAGATAAGAGTAGACAGGAAATGAAGCAGGAAAAATAAACATTCCTATCCCTGCCTTTCCCCAAGGACTTCATTCTGATGCACAAAGATCATGCAAATGCTTCATTGAAGCTAATTGTATCATTGCTCTACTGGACTGTTACTGCCGCTATTGCCTCTCTTCTAATTACTAGAAACGTTTTACCAATTCTGTATAAATTACTAGTATTAAACTTCCTATTGTGTTTGAATTACTGGTAATAGCCAGCCCATTGTTTTTTAAATAGCTGTTATATACTTGAGTCATTACTGTAGTGAAGTTTGCTCTGTGGGTGTCATGACCTGAAACAGCTGAGGAACACGGGCTTAAAATTTATCCCAATATGTAAGGCCACTGCCTTCGGCTGACAACACTTTGCACAGGATGGTAAATCCAAGGAGAACATAAGGCAGCACAGGAGAGCGAGGTGTAAAGCTATGTTTTCCTCTTCCAGCCTGAGCCATCTGTTCACAGCTCTGTCCTGCCATGTAAAAGTTGTCCTGGTGGCAGCTCTAACTTGTGAGGACTGGCAGTACTCCCAGGTGGCGAGCATTGCAGCGATTGCCAGATTACGTATGAATATCCTGCTGTGCTGCTTTTATAGGTGCAGGATCCAGACCTTGATTAAAACACTGCTAAAAAGTTAGGAGGAATGAGTGAATGGACTTTGATTTTACTTCACTGGGCTGTGGGCTAGGCCTCTCTGTACACTGTATCAAAGAACTTGATTTTGCAGATAGGAGGGAAATTTACATATCTTCTTTTTTTCTCCCCACCCCACCTAAAGCCAGAGAGTGCCTGGAGCAAAATTCGCAGTTTTGTATAGTATTTAGGTACAGATCACAGCAGTATCAAGAGAACGTGCAATGACTTTGTGCAATTAGATAGGAAGATATTGGATGCTTCATTTGATTTAGAAAGAAATATAGCTTAATAAAGAAATAGAGATACATATGTAACAGTTCAGCAATAAGAACAACATACTTCTGGTTAAATGCCATAAATGCAGATGATGTTCTTATTAGAAGCTGTTATGAGAGTTTTTACATAAGCTTTTTAATAATCAAGAACAAAATCTAATAGATTATGATTAAATGCCAGCTTAAAGAAAAATCAAACCAGCAAAATACTTATGTTTGATCTTGTAACCTTTTTTGAGTAAAATTGACTTACATTGGATTTGTCAAGTAAGTAAGAATGCAGATGAATTTCTAAACTGCAGTCAACTGAAGAAGAGGATACTGTAATTTTTTCTTTTTTTTTTTTTTTTTTTTATTCCTTCCACAGTAATTAGTAGGAGCTGTATCCTAACTTCTTTGTGATATCTGGTAAAACTTCATGGGACTTCAAAAACTAAGAAGACTCTTTTCCTTTTTATGGGAGAAATATAGATAACAACTGTCATAGTTATACTTTATACTAGCTCATGTAGGTATAGTACTTCATTCAAAGCTGCTGTGTTTATTTAATTCATAAAACGATACATCAGGTCCTAACTGGACTGTCTAGATGAGATGCATGGCATTTTATTTCCTGTTAATTGGTTTTTAATTGTCTGAACTGAGCACCTTAATTACTCTTGCTGAGTCATTTTTCTGTGTCTCCAAGAACCCTCACTTTTCATTTTATAGACAAAGCAGGAGGCTTCTGTGGAAGTTAGACTCTCTGAACATTGCAACCCCTTCCTAGACCTGGGCACTTTCCTCTGTTTAAATGGTTAGAAAACTTATACTGGCAATATTAGATAACACTGTGTCTATCACTTAGTCTTTCATTTTGACAACCAGAAACATTTTGGAATTCAGCATCCTTCAACACAGAGACATCCTACCTGCATTTCCCCACCTTCCAAGGAGAGCTCAGCGCAGATGTCTCATTTTTCTTTAAAACTACTGCTTCCTCAGGAGTGTTTTTAGAAAACCTGGGAATTCAAGACTTCATAAGAATAGAGTTATACTGTAAGTAACATTACTGATGCTTATTATTAATATTTATTATTATTATTATTATTACTACTACTACTACTTTCAGTTAGACTAAATTAGAATTAACTTAAAGGGAAAATATTTTAAAACTGTTCTCTAGCTTTGTCACTGTCACTACTGCTCTTGGAGCTTTATCATTCCCCACCAGAATCCCAGTACCAAAACTATACAAATATCCATTCAAAGATAATTTCTGCCATAGGGAGTTCTTAATCTCAGAGCACAGCAAGCAGTCCCTGACTGTTTAGATTGTTCCTCCTTCCCTTGCTCTCTGCACCCCTGCCACCAAATTCTTTCCATCCAATAATTTTAAGTCCAGGCATTTCTTCTGGTTACTGGGAGATTCACTCTGTCACAACACATGCCTCAGGCCTTCTGTGGCACAGTCTCCTAGCTTAGGCACACTTTTCTTGTTTTGTACAAATCCATTGTGTTATCAATCACACTCCAGTATTTTCCAGTGAAGAGTACAAATTCATATATATATATATAAATATATACATCTTATAGTGCAAAATACTGCTATAGGAATGTTAATGCATGTTTATTAAAAAGGAAAATATTCTGCTTGCTTTGTTTTTTTGCCAAAATCTTTGTTTATTACAACTAACAGAAAAACAGCTACTGAGTTCTTCTGTAGGCAGTTTAATTATAGAATATTGTGTAATGCTTAATCAATTTGGTTTACATTGTCTCAAACTGTAGTGTTGTATTTGAAAGATACCATTTTCAACCATGTTTACCAAGAATATGTACTGCCTTCTCTTAAAGTTCTGTGAACGGGTGAAAACACAGTAGCATTATAGCATCAGTGTCACGTAGTAGAGAAAATGTTCTGGGTGAGTACTTCAGTGGGTAATCTCTGAAGCAATGATGATATTGTTGTGGGATAAATGATTTTTCATTTTCAAAATAAACAGTTAAATCATAGAAATGTTAAAGGAATGCTTTGGAGAAGTAGATTTGTTCAGAAAGTTGGCAGAAGACCATGACTGTTTCTTCAGAGGAATAATGTGCAGACAAACACGTCACTTGTCCCATTCATTCATAGGCATCCAAATTACTGTATACTTATGGTCTTTACATGACTTGTGACTAGTAAGGCATGAAAGAAAGTGAAAAGCTGAATTAGTCTGTACTGTCACAATTTAAAAAAAAAAAGTTTATCTCATTATTATGTACCTTGTAGAGATTTTTCTTCACTTCCAGAAGCATCCTAATTCTTTGACTAGACAGACCTATTCTTTTTTGTATGTCATAGATAAGATTGCTTGTAGTGGAGCCAGAAATGTGTGTTTGCACTGAGGCTAATATCAGTTAAAAACAAGCAATATACATTTACATCACAAGTACCTTTCTCTCTCAATAAAAAAAAAAATATATTCACCTTGAACATTTCGTATTGTATAGGATCATTTAGATTTCATAATCATATACTCTTTTATAACAGATGTGACTATAAATCACCAACCTACACTTGATAGTCTATAATAGTTCCACAGAAATCAATGTCTTTGATTTGTGTAATAATAAATAATAATAATGAAAATATGAAGTGTCAGTGCTTAAGATGAGGAAGTGTTAGAAATTATTTAAAATTCATTATGTCATTAACATTTGGCACTCCATACTTGTGAACACAATGATTTTTCCTAGCATTTTATTGATTGCTCTCAAGCTTTTATATAATTCTTTTATTTATGAAGTTATGAACACTGCAGTGTATCTGTGTATAACATTCTAGAAAACTATTGTAAAAATGTGCATAATCATCGTAAAAGTATTTTAAAAAACAGAGGAAGTGGATCATCTAGAAAAAGATACTTGATCCTTCATTTTTTTACAGAATTATGAAAATCTCAAATCTTTAAATTTTTTGTCTGAATTCTTGTAATCTTCTGCAGAAGTAGTAGTAGAAAGCAACAAAGCTGATTCAACTCTGAATAGTACACTCTATTAAATACTTTTATGACCGCAGATTACATGTTCTAGCCAAAAGGCTGAGTAACTATTTTATGTTATTGAAGTGCTCAGTGGAGAATTATTTCCTATTTATAAGCAAAGCGTAAAGCAAAAATTTAAAGTAGGTTTGGGAACACTATGGTGTATTAATTTAG